ATATATGTATAGTGTGTGTATGTGTATTTGTATGCATATATATGTAAAGGTGTATATAAAATAACGTGTGTTGTGTAGTGTACATCTTAGTGATTAGTGTTATAACCTATATGCGCCTACCACTCACGATTTTTACATTACCTAAAGGTTGACTGGGAGAGAATGCCTTGGGCAGTAAGTCCGCCGATGTACAAATGTGCATAAAGTTATAAATAAATAAATAATAAATACTCTGTGTTACAGTCCTTCACTCCTTTTAGCGGTAGTATATAAAATATATACAGAATAATTAGTTTGTCCTACAGTCCACCCATTAGTCCGACAAAACTATTGTTTCAATAGCATTTTTACATTCTCTTGTTGTTTACAATAAAATACTGGCTTATTAAATACTTACATACCTGTTTTGTTTATGTAAAACAATAAATCTAATGCATAAAGTCTTTAAAAACTCATTAGAACATGGAAAAGCGGTTAACGACCCACAAGTACACCTTACATTTTCTTTCATTTCGTTATAAACTCAGAATATATTTCGCGCCTCGTTCTCAAGATTTTTATTGTGTTCATTAACTTTTTAATATTTTTAATTACGCTTTAAGGTCAGCTTACAGATTGAAAACTATAATAAAAGAATAGCACTTGACACAATGTAACGGAGAAAACACTTTAGACAAGTTACCACACTTGTCTAAAGTGTTTTCTAAAAATCCAGTGGCTAAAATTGAATGGGATTGCGATACAAAGTAAGTTCACTCCGCTACAGTCTTTCTCTGCAAGGACCGCCACCAGAGTACAATCGACAAAGGAAAAACACGTACAGTTCTCACAGCCACTATTGAATTTCGCAGCTTTACGGTACAGATAATTTACCTAGTAGCAATTAAGTATCTAGAAAACTAAATAATAACATCATTAAATGTTTTCATCTCAAGTAGTTTTCATTCGTTCAACAATGGCATACCTATTTTAATCATTTGAATGCAATTCCAATTAACAGTGCATGTGCTATGGAATACGATTACAATAAAATTGAAATGTGTAGTATCTACTTTTGCAGAAAAAATATGTTATACTCTTTAGTTATAATACGCCAGTAATCGTAATATTAGTTCAATGGTTATACTAACTTTTAAACTATCGTGTTTTGTTATAAAATAAATGTTTAAGGGAATTAAGTATTCCAGAACGTACTCGTAAGATACAATTATGTGTACTCTTAGGTAAATAAATTCATTTGCAATAAGCAACACGGGTTCAGATCCAAACGCTCTCTCAATACCAACTAACTGAGCCTTGTCAACTTAATATCTACAAGGCTAGACTACAGTAGCCAAGTAAATGTCTTATATTTTGACCTAAATAAGGCTTTCGATAAAGTCAATATAAAAATGACACACTGCTTTCGAAACTGTGCGCCATTTTCGTAGCTCCAAAACTACTCTACTTGCTGGCAGACTATCTTCGCGATCGACAGCAGTATGTCAAGATTAGTAAATATGTTTCAAAACCATACCATACGCAATCCGGTGCTAGCCAAGGTTCAGTACTAGGGCCCTTGTTGTTTCTTACAATGATAAATGACCTGCCTACAGTACTTACGCATGCCAGATATGTCCTTTATGCAGATGACTATAAACTTTACTTGGAAATACTTTCTGAAGCTGTCTTTCGAGGGCTACAACAGACATAGAAGCGATAAATAAATGGGCTCTTAATTAAAAAATGAAATTTAACTATTCCTCCGCCTTTTCCTTTCAAAAGTCATCGCAAAACATTTTTGCGATGACTTTTGGAAGGAAAAGGCGTCCAATCTGCTTTGATTACCAACTGAACGGCGATTCTATTACTAAAGCCACTTATATTTATGAAAGATTTGAGGGGTAATTTATGATCCGGGACTCACATTTCATGATCATATAGTGTTATCATCATCATCATCATCATCATCATCAGCCTATCGCAGTCCACTGCTGGACATAGGCCTCTCCCATTGCACGCCATTTAGATCGATTTTGTACCTTGATTAAATTAATTTGGCCAGCATGCAGCTCTAAAAGTCTCAAAGATTTTTAGAGCTTCATGCTTTCCAAATTAAGGTGCCCACGGCTAAAAGGTACCTATAATAAGTTAGGCAGGTATGTCTTGGTCGGACAGATCAGACGAAACCAGTCACCGCCAGCATTAATCGCGGCAATGCTGGCGAGTGGCGAGGGATGGGCAGCCGCGGTCTCCTTCTGCGAGGACGTTATGCTCCAAAAGGAAGCCGCAGAGCGGGATCGGTCCTCTCCCGATCCCGCTCTGCGGCCGAAGAGGAGAAGGAGGCGGCGACGGGGACGCGGCAGAGGTCGCTAACTCCCCAATCGCCGCCTAAGGGTTGCTGCGGCCACATCTTGGGGCGATGTGACCGCTGTAAACGACCCGAGACAGATGACACTCCGCGCGGCCGGGGGCATGTCGTCTAAGGCGGGACGCCGTTGCGCCTTTTACTCTGTACAGCAGTGGGAGGCGCGGTAGCGTCCTGCCCCAGGGTGACTTTACTCCGGGATATGCCTCAGACATGAGGTACGGCAGGGATGACTCCAGAAGTCGCCGATGCGTTCCTGGAGCTCCTCCCGACTGCCGAGGTAGGCCGCCGCGGGGTTTAGTGGGTGGTCTACCCACTCCCGCTCCGGGAGTCCCACACACGCCCTGCGTTTTCCCAATGGAGGGTATGGTGCGAAAAGCATTCCCCGCGTGAAAAAAAGAAAAAAACAAAGTTAGGTGGTTATGTATTTAGTCATTCATCTTATTTTATTAACAGTGATATTTTAGTCGGTTTTACAGTTCATCATCATCATCATCATCAACAGCCTTTAATAGTCCACTGCTGTACATAGGCCTCTCCTTAGAAATGAGGTTTTACAGTTACGTGTACAATAAGAAATTCAAGTCACTTAGTGAGTTTAAAAGCTTTAATTGGATAAGGATACTGTTTCTTCGCGATATTTTACTTTTAAAAAAACCGGTCAGGTACGAGTCGATCTCGTGCGCCGAGGGTTCCGTACCTACCCAGATGTTACGTAGATTTTTTAATGATTATTCTTATACTGGTGAATTTGAAGAGTCACACCACTAACGGGAAACAAAGTCTATTTTTTTTCTATCTAGTGTAAATATTGTTTTTTTTTTTTTTGCTTTGTTTAAAAGATTTAAATTTTGCCAATAAATTTACATCTTGTGATAAAATAGTACCTAATAGCTTCATAAATTCATGGTTTTACGGAAAAGTTTATTTTAATTGTAATAATTACGCCAATACAAAGTTGTTTCGGCTTGAAAAATATGGAACGTCAAACGATGTACCGTTTAACGTTTCATACTTAGATTGACTTGACATTTCTAGTCCATCTAGACTAGAAATGTCAAGTATGTCAATATTGAAAAGTACCGCCGCTCACAAACCTATCACTTTTTGATTAAAACTAATATAGGTAATCTAAATATGTCAACAAGAACTGCAGTGCCGCTATAATATGATATTTGGCTAAAATACTTAGACGTATAATTCTGAAATACTTTAATACAATTAACATTTATATTTAGTTAGAAACCTAGTTTGTAATTGCCGCACTAAATTTACATAAAATTACACAAACATACATATCTACATTATATTTGTATACTAGAATGTAAGATTTTTTTTGGTGTACTATCGATTGGATGATTCTCATTGAGAAGGAGGTCATGTACCTTCTTTTTAAATACGAAACTTTTAGTGGACATCCTGACTTCAAGCGAGAGTGCATTCCAGAGTAGAACTGCTTGAACAAAGTTCACTAACTCGAAATTGTGGGTGGGACATAAAAGAAGCAAATTATTATTAATAATTATAAATTATTTGCAGAACGAAGATTTATGTCGTGATTAGACGACAAGAAATGGAAGTACGGTGCAAGGTAAGTAGGTGAGGATGGAGACATGAGGAATGAAAATAGGCTCGATGAATTCGATGCAGGCGGATGGTTAACCAATTTAGTTGGAAACGTAAAGTAGACACGTGGTCATACTTACGAAGGTTGAAAATATACCGAATGCAGTTATTAAGAAGGCGGTTCAGCTTGTTTCGACCTGAATGGAGACCGCATTCAGGTCGAAATAACATACAACACCAAAGTCCATTGAAGGAATGATTAAGGATGGCATAAGAGTAGTTTTAGTTTTGGGAGGCAGGAAATTCTTAAGGCGATATGGTATTCGCAGGTTTCCACTTATTTTCTGACTCACATGAGTAATCTGAGGTCGCAAGTCGATGAATAGACCCAGGTTCTTGGCTACGGGGCTAAAAGGTAAGGACAGAGCCGTTGAAGTTTTCCTTAATATGTCAACCCTACAGGTAACAAATAACAGCTGTCGCCCTTAAAGATATTTCTCTAAAAACGTATTTATGTGGTCGATAAATGACACTGATTTGAAGTTGAAAATTGCTAGTACCTATTTTAAACATTTATAAGTAATGAGTATTAAAAAAAAATCTAATCGTGAGATATTCATGATTAGTGTCAGACAGCGAAACTAAGCCTTGTGTTATTTATTTACCTTTACTTAAGTGTGTTCAACTGATTTTTATAGATGTTCATTCGTTTTTACCGATCATCATTGGTCTACATTACTTATATAGATTTACTAGTAAAAAGTAAGATATAATAATATACGGGCTTATACATAAATCTGTAAAACTGTAATCGATTTGTGAATACAAAGCGATGCAATTGATACCTCTTAAGAATCGGATATTGTAGGAATCGATTTTTTTGACCCCCTCCTTATTCTTCAATCTGACAGATTTGTCAAACGGTAAACACAGTCTCGCAATGTTAGTGACGAGTGTTTTGTAGACCATCAAATTAAATTTTTAAAAATTGTTTATTGGAGTCAGTAAAGTAAAACCGAATACCACTTGGACTATGTATTTGAAGTGAACTGAGGAATTTGGTGACATATGAAAAACATCTGTAAATATGTCACTTAAAAACATATTTATAAAGTAGGTGATAATAAAAATATAATCCATTTATTTATAGTAATCATAAATAAATGGTCCCGAATAATAGGTTTGTTTGGTGTAAGGCAGAATGCCTATTCTAAGACAAATACCTTATTACTTTGTGTTTTTTTTATTAATACCTTATCATGAGATATTTAAGTCATTATAATTCGTACAAAAACATCTGCGAACTAAGTTATGTCAGAATCATGATGGCTTGGGAATTGCGTTTTAAATTATATAACTACTTCTAATATTCTATTTGGCTTTGTTTTAACTAATTCCTTTCCTAGAGATAAAATAAGGACAGAATACCTCTCATAGAATAATCTCAACAAAATTTATTTATGATTACTAAGATTCTAGTAATTTCAAATCGAATTTAAAACAATATTAATGCTGTTGATAATGTTTAGTAAACAAATTTTTCGTTATATATTTTTCATGTGTATTTAATACAATTATTTATACATCTTTATTGTACACCGCTACAGTATATATATTGTACAGACATGGATGGACATCTACATGTGGTATTCCAAAAGACGGTTGTATTGCTCACGGCGATCTCTTACAGACAAACTTAATATGGATATTGTCAAATCTGATTTTAGGTAGTCTGTGATGTACTTTTATAATTCCCTGAGCAATAAAGTACTACATATGTTTACAGTATAAATACTACTAACACATAAATACATACACAAATGCAGAGGTCCAAATACACAGATCTTTTATTATCTATGGCATATTAACAACAATAAAATAAACTACAGTTTTTTTTTTATTATTTGCATATCTTCGGAACTATTATTCAGTTTTGAATGATTCTTTTTGTATTAGATGGAATATTAATTGAAAGTTAATATAGGGTTAATAATAATATATTCCATAACCAAGTAACAATAACTTAATATTTCTAGTCACGTTAAAAACTATCTTGGTTACGGTAAGTCAAATAATATAAATCAATTACGAATATTTTTATTTCAGCACCTTTCATCAAAGGAAGAAGTTTGTTAACGCAGTTGCAACGGTAGTGAGACTGAATTATGATAAATGGAACCGTAATAAACAAAAATGGCAATACAGAAATAACAAAACAATTGCAGCTTTATTCACTTCTGGTATCATACTGAAAACAATAAAAGGTATTTCATTAATGTATTATTTTATAGTTTTGAAGTCAAAAATGGAATGGACACAGTACCAATCATTTAGCTCGTCATGCAATTATTTGTTTTGGGTGGAATCGTATTCCGGATTACTAGTCACTAGAGCAGTACTAGACTAACTAGTCCCACAATATTTCTAATATTTAAATTATAAGTTGATAATTATTTGCACATAAAATTCAGAAGCTCGCTTGGAACTACAAAATTTGCTCAGCACAGAACTTGTTCAGCTGTTCTGACATGTTCTCACTTCTATCATGTTTTTCTCGTTCAAAGGCCAAAACAACTGTGTACAAAAGATTATTGCGACTTTTTTTTATTCTTAGTACTGTTTACCAAACAGCTTTGAAAAATAGCTCACAACGGTTGTGGTCAATGTAAAACATACCCTTGTGACAATGAAGAAAGGGTCTGATGATTGACAAGATATTGGGTTGAACGCATAGATCCTCAAAAACTTTCGCGTTTTAGTATTACTTGGATAAATTTAAAGAGGAGAATAGTAAGGCAGGAGGTTAACGAAGACCAAACCCTTCTGATACCAAGGGGCATTGGCTCAAAGGGCGCATAGGCACTCTATGACTCTTGCGATGTCAGTGTCCATTTCCGACGGTGGTCACTTACCGTCAGGACCCGTCTGCTCGTTTGCCCCCTATATAAAAAAGCAATAGTTTGCCATTTTCTCTACCTCATATTATTATTTAATTTATAACATACACTAGTGGCCCACCCCGGCTTCGCATGGGTGATATTTTTACATCACATTAAAAATCTTTGAAATTCTCGCATTTTCTCCACTATAATATGCATGTCATCAACAGCCTATACTAGTCCACTGCTGGACATAGGCCTCTCCTTAGAAAGGAGGTATGTTTATAATATGCATGTACTATACATAAAACCTTCCTCATTAATCACTTTATTGGTGAAAACCATATTAAAATCCATTGCGAATTTCTAAAAATCTAAGCGTACAAGAAAAAAAGCGGCTTCATTTTTTACTATGTAAAGATTATAATTTACATTACATGTGACGACACTTAAATAATTATGACGAAAAGGTACGTTAGGGTCGTATCAACAAGAACCACACTATGTTTCTGGCAGAGAGACCAGGCCAAAGATTTGGCGAATCCGGTCCGAGCTGCATCTACTCTACTCAATCAGAGTAGATGTGACATCATCTGCCTTTAGACGGCTTTCTAACTTCTACAGATTTCGCTCCTATTTTACCAAATTATACGACCTTACCTGCTCCAAAAAACCTATTTGCAGAATAAACGATTTCATTTTACTAAAATTTGAGAAATAACTCTTCGTTCGTTTCTGTCTGTTATCAAATACTGCAATGTTTAACCTTGATGACCTATGTAGATTGGAATACGTCATCCAATTTATTAACTTATAAAATAGTAAATATTTAAACAGTGCATATTGGCTTACTGCATCTTTATTTCTCGACTCCATATTTTTTTTTACACGTTTTTTCTCGTGTTCTTAAGACCGACCTATGCAAACGAGGAGTATACTGATTTGTTACTGTGAGAGTCTAGGGCAACGAAAGTAGAGTTGAATCTAATCTAAATACTTGAACTATCACGATTTCTTGTTCATCATCTTCATCAGACGTGATCTATCCAGATCAGATCGTCGCTTTGAAATATAGCCGGTGTGTCCAAAAAAAATCCAGTGATTTTCGACACAGAGTGATGGTCTGGATACACTATTTCAGTATTCGTTATGACGTCCCTCACACCCTGTATATAACGCCGTTGTTCATTATCACACATTCATTTACATTCATTTGGATTTCACTCATACATGACTTATGAGTGGAATCCAAATGAATGTGCAATATTGTTCGTCAATATTCTGTGTCTCAGTAGGCCAAAACGTCCTTTCTAAGGAAACGCCTACATCCAGCAGTGGCCTATGGAAGGCTATTGATGTGATGTAAATGTCAACTGGTTCTTTCGAAAACTGTCCGTTTTGATATAATTCGGTATATATAAAAGAAAGAACTCTTTCTTGCTTCTCTTGCTGCTAGCAAACATACAGTCAGTATAATACTGACGGTATGTTTGCTTCCTGTGGGTATAAAAATACTCTTCTAGTGGAGCACGTGGTAGACATAAACCACATATTATGTCCAGTCTATCCACTTTTATAAAAAGAAACTCCTAAGAGACACTGGCTGTGTACACATTTAATACGAAAAGAAGTCAACTTTTCAAATTGAAACACGTTTTACTATTGTTAGATATTTCAAGCTATTATGCGTTGAATTTGCGCGCTCTAGAGTTTACTTTACTTTGTACTGCGTGTGGCTAATTTGTACTTATAAATTATTGTGCATCGCAATACATGCGAATCGAAAATAGTGAACGTTTTGTTTTCCTTTTTTACGTTATTTTACTCAGTGATTTTAGCCAAGATAAAATAAAACAATAAAACAATTTTAGAGCCAAGGTAAAATATAATTAACTAAATGTCATTCATTTAGTTAATTATATTTTACTTTGGCTCTAAAATTGTTTTATTTTTATCCCTCGGGCACATTCTGTAGATAAAACTTAACCTTGGTAAACTATCTGAAAATTTCCTTTAACGTTAGATAAATAATATATGTATATATATCTATATAAATACGGCAACATTTAAAATACGGTCAAATCAACGATTTTTACTTTTTAAGACCGCTTTTTAACTCAATTGCTTTGTACACCATCACTTTTTGTTATCAACTATGCACTGAATCCAAACATTTGTTTCTATTAAAAATGTTTTTTTTTTATTAGTCACGTGCAAAACCCATAGGCTTTTTTGTCACCGGTGTTATCGGAACTTAAAAAACACACCGCAGAGGAAATCAAGGTGTCAGATTAATAAAAGACCTTTAAAGTTTATCCTTTTAAGAAAATAATCGTAAAGTTTGACCACAATCGCCAATATCATACTAAAATACACAACTTAGCGACGTATTGTATTACTGTTTTTATTACACCATTCAAACATGTATCGATATTGAAGTCATATAACATGAGGGAAAACACAAATGAAGATATAAATCAAATAAACTACGTAAACAATGCTCTGATGTCACATGGTTATTCATTTGAATTTATGCACATTCAATCATCTGTAAACAATAGCGGTAAAAAGATATTGCTGCATTTTTGAACAGCTTTACTGTAAACATACTTATAAGAATGATAAATACTCTCTGTTGCACACAAATGTACACGTCATTTATTTATTTCTAAAAGATACGCTTACAGATTACTGCCATTACATGTTGCAGGAAACATTAGAAGATAGGTATATATAGTCTAGACAGTGATCCAAATTTAACATACACAACATGAAATGGCAAAATACAAGGCATGTGGCAAATAGAAATACTTGCCACACTTAATTATCACCAACGCTACTCAATTTCATGTATCTGTTCATGTATCTATAGCATACGTAAAAATAAAACTAAATTATTAACAGAAAAGAAAAAGAAAGATACTTACTACGAACATTGAGCATTTATTATATGACATCACATCACATCAAAAGCCTCTAATAGTCCACTGCTGGAAATAGGCCTCTCCTTAGAAAGGAGTTTTTGGCCTATACCACTCTGGCCAGACCGGTTGGTAAAAGGTTTGTTTGAAGTTTTCCTTCTCTTTGCAGTGATGTTGTCCTTGCAGAGTTTGCTCCCTTTAGTCGGCTGTTACGTCACCCACGGAATGAATAGGAGTGGTAACACTCCGTATTCTTAATCCGTCACCACACGGACATCTTAATCCGTATGTATAATGCACTATGGACCTTATGGCCACTAACAATGTTTTCGAAGGCAACCTTCGATGGATAGGTGTGTAAGAATTAAAAAGAAACTAATTTAATAGTTTCTGGTTCTGGCAAAAAAATAAGAATGACTGGTTTAACCAAAAGACTTCATGGAAAACGTGAATAATTTTCATCATTTTCGGACTATCTTTCGTCGACATTTTCGACACGGCGAGAACCTTGCAAAATAAAAAATTTACAAATGTCGTGACAAAAGATTTTGATGTGTCTAAAGGTCAGACCGTCTGTTGGCGTGGCAACGCGTCACCACGCTATGTGATATTATATGTAACATTTATTGTGGTGTCGCCAGCGCGTCGTTATACGCAAGTAACAAAAAGATAATTTCAATGTTTCACATCCGCCAGACATCCGCGACGTCTCAGTTGACAACAGTCTCTTGTCGAATGAAATAAGCTTAGGAGTAATCTTATATCTTATCAGTTTTCGTGTTATCTAATTACTTACAAACATATGTGACGCTTATTTGATGTGATCAAAATGTTTTTCTACTTATAATATTATTTTTTCTCTTGTTACGTGTAATAGAGTGGTAAAACAGATAATATAATACCTTGTTCGTGATAGTGAGATAAAGACCTCCCGCTAGCAACAATCCATACTAATGTTATAATTGCGAAAGTGTCTGACTGTCTGTTACCTCTGCACGCTTTAACCGCTGAACCGATTTCGATTAAATTTAATATAGAGATAGCTTGAGTCTCGGGAAAGGACATAGGATAGTTTTTATCCTAGAAATCATCCTTTAAGAGGGTGAAAAGGGAGGTTTAAGGTTGTATGATGAAAAAATAATCACAGAACCGATTTAAATGAAATTTGGCATGGAGATAGTTTGATTCTTGATGAAGGAAATAGGCTACACACACAAAAAAACATCAAAATCCGTCCAGCTGTTTAGGAGCAGTTCAGTCATATACACACGCACAGAAGAATTATAGAAAAAATATATGGATACTTTTCCTGAAGTTAAAATACCCTTAGGCTAAGTGGAATGTCGAGGTATAACCCCTAAATGTACATTTAATGTGTTAGGATTGGAACTATTGCGGGAGTTGTTTTTTTAATAGGAAAAACTAGGAATAGGTTTAAAAATGAGTTGACTGTACCTGATTGACGATGTCTACGTTTTTAGAGTTCCATACCTCAAAAGGTAAAAAAGGAACCCTTATAAGATCACTTTCTTGTCCGTCTGTCCGTGTGTCACCACCAATTTTCTCAGGAACGGGTAGACCTAGTAAGTTGAAATTTATAATCGAAACTCGTGACTGAGGTTCCAGTAATTGTCTGACGATCACGGTGATTTGTTCTGTGTCTGGGAGCAATTTATCTATAATATGTGTGTATTTAGAAATATATAGGTATGTTTATCAGCAATCTGGTTACCATAGCACAGGCTCTGCCTAGTTTGGGATCAGACTGCTGTGTGTGAGATGTTTGAAGTTATTATTATTTCTAAACGACCCAAAGGTTGGCTTGTAGAGCATTAAGTCCGCTAATGTACAAAGTGCATAGAGATATAAAATAAAATATATTCGATAAAATGAGTACGTTTTCCTGACCTATGAAATGAGAATAATGTTGAGGCTTTTTTAGATGACTTAGAAAAAGATATACCAAAAAATGTCAGTAATAAAAAGGACGTGAACGGTGGCGACAATGGCGATGGCGAAGCTGGACAGAAGAGGCCAGATCTACCTGTATATAGGGCTGATGAAGTTAGCAAACACGACACTACGTAAGTCTGCAATACCAAGTTACTTATACCTGCTCATAATTACTCAAAATATATATTTGAGAATTTAATGTATACTCATGAGAATAAAAATAAAATTAAGTAAGAATAGTGACCATTATAACTTAAAGTTAAGAAATAGGGCAAATCTTGCGATGCCCATAAATATTACCACATGTGGCCGTAAAAGAGACATAGCTTATCATAAACGGGCCGGATCAACCGAAGTTCTTTTTTTTCTTTTTTTTTAAAAAGACAACTCCCGCATACATAATTGAAACGGACACAAAGGACACCCAGATTCAGAAAAACAATTTGTGGATCATGTGGAGATCGAACCCACAACACTCAGCGTAGTAAGAAGCGGCGTGGCGACCGCTTAAACCACTACGCCATTAGTGCAGCACATGCAACATCAGGATTTATACCATGACGTCACAGAAAACTCGTGTTAATAAATTCTTTCGTTGCTTTCTCCTTTTCTCCAAACTTATACTGTTGTGTATTTTCATCTTATCTATTTTAACCAAATCGCATTTCTATAATTTAGTTTGAAAAACTTACAAGAAGAAGACAAATATTATTTACCTGTCTCGTTAATACCTAGCATTTTAAATATTAGGTAAAATTAATTTCTGTAAATTTCTTCCAGCGACAGTTTCTGGGTAATATACAAACATGGCGTATATGACATCACCAAATTCCTCCCCAGCCACCCTGGAGGGAAACAAATTTTGAACGCGGGAGGACTGAGTATCGAACCTTTCTGGAATCTGTACGGCATGCACAAAACTAAACCAATATACCAACTACTTGAGAGTTACAGAATTGGTAAGTAGGTTCGGCCTTAGGCCCCACTCTAGTAGAGTTGATTGCATAAAACTATAATAACTCGTAAATTGACATAAAGCATGGTATTCGTTTTTGGCTTGTGTAAATATCGTCATGTTGCCGAATTGTGTAGAAAACTCACATCCTCTCTTAACTATATAATATTTTATTTAATCCCCTAACTTCTATCTACGAAGCTTTGAGACTTGAGATGCCTCTGCATTCTACAATTTTTTATAACCAGTCTTCTACTGTTGAAGCTGTACGCTTGTGGAATGCATTGCCGATAAACATCAGGCGAGCGCAAACAATAAACAGTTTTACGAATATGCTTCAAGAATTTTTTGTACCGTAATTAAGACAATGAATGTTTTCTTTTTTTTAAATGTGATGTACTTAAATAGTTATGGTATGGTATATTTGCTGGTATTTAAGATATTTTATTACAAAGGTCATCCTTAATTAAATACATATTACAATAACAGAGACGTTCACAATACATTTTAAAAGGAATAATTACAAATAATAGGTCTTTACCTATGAAATTGCCGTTTTGTATGCAATAAGTGAAAGTACTTATTTTTTCAAACTTTTTTATTTCTGTTATTCGAAGTATAGTATAGTAAGTATAACCCATGCAATCGACGCATCTTTGCCAACGCATTGGCAGTTTATTGATGCCCTTCTTGTAAAAAACAGCTGGACGGGAGGCAACAAACTCTTCAAAGGCATTTTGTACTGCCTCTCGCGAATTGAATTTTTTACCCACTAAAAAGTTGTCTAAATTTTGGAAAAAGTAATGGTCGGTAGGTGCAAGGTCTGGTGAGTATGGCGGATGAGGGAGAGCTTCCAACCCCAGCTCTTGCAGCTTGGAGACTGTCTGTTGCGCAGTATGGGGTCGCGCGTTGTCGTGAAGAAGCAGTGGGGACGACCGATTGACCAAAGCTTGTTGCTTGGTACTCACCAGACCTTGCACCTACCGACTATTACTTTTTTCCAAAATTGCTCAGATCTTGATGGTAGAATTTTATTTATTATAAATTCATATAGGTACATGTATCGCGATGCAGAAATAGTACTTATGAATTAATTCGGCTTGTCATCGCTATATGATGCTGAATTATGTTTCTGCTTTATCTGAACATTTCGTTTTGTGTTTTAAACTTTTTGAAAAATTTGAAAAACAAACGTTTGGATGGATATTTCTTATCTCATCACACCAGTACGGCTGAATGGATCTGTATGAAATTTAGAATAGAGATAGATTATAGACAGAAATAGCACGTAGGCTAAATCGACATTCACGAAAGCGAAAACGCTATTACTTAAATTTGTAATGTACGCATATATATATAGGGCATATATGGATATAACGCAAGATTATAACATCCACAGCACTTTGCAGGTAACCTGCACGACGATGATGTGGTGGACATGTCCGGGAACGAGCTGTGGGTCAGTGAACCCGTGCGAGACAAACGGCTCATCGTTAAGTCGAAGCAGCCGTTCAACGCTGAAATACCCGCCAAGCTTATCGTGGAGAGCTTGGACACGCCCAAGTATGTGTACCATCTCTCTGCTCACTCTTGTCTTCATATATTTGTCATTTTAAATTTACTAGGTTTTACTTACGTGTGTAAAAATGTATACTCCGACGTACGACGGTCACTAGAGTCCATTCGCGTTAAGAAAATAGTGACGCATCGATCAATCCCCGTCCCCTGACCAATCAAGTGCCAAGAAATTATTGTGTCGTACGAAAGCTTAGAACCTGATTGGTAGTGCGGGGCTTGATTGATACATAACTATTTTCGTAACTCTAAGTTCTATAAGCGAAAGCGCGCCAGCTCGACTCATGCGCAACTGCACTCCTTGCCATTCCCTACAGTTGTAATTAGTCTTAATGATAATAATAATAATAATAGCCTTTATTTATATATACTACATACATACATACTATACATTTTCTTAAGTACTCATGTACTTAAGTTATACATACTATACACTTTCTTAAGTACTCATTTTCAACAATTGACACCAGTTTGAAAATTGTTTTGCTTCCCAGCATAGGCTCTCTCCTAATGCATGCCAAATGCGATCATGTGTCTTCCTTCTCCACGTAATTCTTGTCTTAATGTCGTCCTCTCATCGACGACGCTGTCTCCCTTTTCTTGTTCCCGTTGTTCTTGTTTCTGTCTCCCCATTCAGGAACGTCCTCCCATTTGTCTTTTATGTTCCTCATCATATGACCTGTCCTTTTCCACTTTAGTTTTTTTATGCAGAATATTACGTCCGTTACTCCAGTCTGCTTACGAATTACTTACTTGATGTTTATGCTTGGACCCCCTTTCTAAGGAAAGGCCTATGTCCAGCAGTGGACTAGGAAAGGCTGTTGATGATGATGATAAAATGCGCCGGCTGGTCAAGGCCACGGCCTCACAGAAAACCGGTGACAACCAATTCTTTCGTTGCTTTTCATGGATTGAGTAAGTTTACAGGATCCCAACCCAACCCCTCCTTAATCTGGGGACTTGCATGTGTCCATGCTCGGTGGTAGTTACTCAGCATCTGGTGACCCGTCTGCTGGTTTGCCCTATTACTATTCCTTACTTAAAAAAATAGTATCCCTTTTAATAACACAACTTTTAAGTCATCGCTGTTAAAGGTCAAATCATCAAAAAGTATATATGTATTCTATCAATCAATCTAGCTTTCATAGTACTAACTAAGCAGAGCTTGCTTAGTTTGAAACTAAATGGCCATGTGAAAAATATTATTATTGTTGTCAAAGAGAAAATTCATTTTTTAGTAACAAATATATATATATATATTTTTTTTTTTTTAAAAGACAACACCCGCATTAGGAATATATATTCCTGTGTCGCGGGGGACTTCACAAACATACATGAAACGGACACAAAGAACACCCAGACTCAGAACAACAATTTGTGGATCACACAAAGTATTGTCCCATGTGGGGTTTGAACCCACAACACTCGGCGTAGTAGGAAGTGGCGTGGCGACCACTTAAACAACTACGCCATCCGTGCAGTCGGGGGATATTCATTATCCCACACTCCCAATAAGTAGGTAGTACTAAACCTAATCATGTTATTTACAGTGAACTGTTTTTCGTGCGTCAACACATGCCTGTTCCAGAGTTAGAAGCTAAAGACCACAAACTTGAAATCATTGTCAAAAATGGTAACACTCACACCAAAGTGTTCGACTTAGAGCAGTTGGGGAAAATGTTCCCTCAGAGCGAAGTGCGAGCAGCCCTCATGTGTGCTGGTAACCGCAGGACTGAAATGAGTAAGGTACTTTAAGTTCTGGCTTGTCCTGAATACTCTCTTTGAAACTTATGCTTCTTACTTTATGAGTTACTTCTTTTTCTACTTTCTATATTTACATACTTTAAATAAATAAATTCACTTTGAGAACAAATAAAATAAACTTTAGCCCTAAATAAGACCACAGCTTTTGTGCTCACAGACGATCAGACCCGTCACCTGATGGAAAGTGACTATCGCAACTCAGTAGTTACAAACGCGTTGCCGGCCTTTTAGGAAGGAGTACGCTCTTTTCTTGAAGGTTTGAAGGTCGTATCGGTCCGGAAATACCGCAGACGATAATCCGTTCCACAGATTGGTTGGATTGATTGATTTTTGCTTCTGTAATTACAAACTTTTTATCTTAACACCCCCTCACCCCGCAAACTGTCAAGCGTTGTTTCATAGGGAAATCTAATTACAACGCGTCCTATTTTGTATTTGATTCGTGAATTTTTCTATTACTTCAATCATTGATATCACTGATATCGTATATGCGTATACAACGCACTATTATAACATCTACAGCACTTTGCATTTTGCTTAATTACAATTATGATGTCTGGGCTATACTTAGATCTAACAAGCTAAGGCGTGTTTTCTCTTAGTTTCTAATAAAATTGACTTCAGCAACTTTCATTTTCTTCGTTTTTTTTTCCATTAAAAAAGAATTTCCGTCTTTTTCCAATAAGCCGGTTTTTCGCATCTGTTCGATTTTTTTTAATAACTTGCCACCAAAGTATTTTTTTAAAACATACTTGTACTCAAATTATCCCGTTAAAAAATCAGCCAGTTTATTTTTTTCGACCTGAAAATTCTAAGCCTGCACTGATATATTTTGTCTTGAAATAGAAATAATGATTTTGAATCTTTTTTACTCCTAAATCAAATTGTAAAAAATCTTTTAATTAATAGGGAATTGATTACAGGGAGTCAAATTTGAAAAACTGCAAAATCATTTTTTTTTAATTCAACTTATTTAGATATTTTTTTGGTAAATTTCTTATTTATTTAGTAAATTGTATATTTTTGTTAAGTAATTGTTTTTTTTTTTATATGGTGGCGTTGGAGCTAATACGTGGCCTAGTCATCTTGCTAGTATACTATAATTTTAGGTTTCACATTTATATTTAATTGATTTCATTACCTTAATAAATGTTCTTTTTTGGCCAACAATCTTTCTTTCACGTTTATTATTTCACACATTCTTCATTTGATCAAATATATTTAATTGTAAGGCTGTGATCTCTACTAATTTTATAAAGGCGAAAGTAAGTCTGTCTGTCTGTTACGATTTCACGGCTAAACCGCTTTTAATGTAACTGTAAAACCATCTAATAAGTAATGGAAATTATAGTATTATAGTACTAAATTTTTATAAAAAATCTTACAAGCTCAATATCTTGAAAATGGTAGGTTTCAGATATGATATTTCATAGTGAAATCTATCAGAAGTGATGTCAATTATAACCTCTTAAAGTATCTAGGTCAGTAACCCTGTATTTATACTTACTATTTCCAAAGTTAGATAACTATCTCGTTATAAATATTTAAAAAAAATATCTATCTAAAAGACAATAGTCCGTAGTAAGTACAATTCTCGAAATACCAAATTTGAAATACCGATTGTTTGTCGTCTGATTGTTTGTAAAAAAAGAACGTTAGTTAGTTTTTACATTGTGGTTATTTTATGGTGTGTCATGTACTTGTGTATGCTTTATTTGTTTATGTTTTGTCGATTAATTGACAAACTTCCTTGAGAGGTCTGTGTCCAGCAGTGGACCATTAAAGGCCGTTGATGATTAATTAAAATAATTACTCCTATAAATATAATATTATTATGTCTATACAAATTATCACCGAGTGAGTGAGGGTACCGGACCCCAACCCCCCTCCCCCCTCTCCTCCTTTGATCCAGGGGAGAGGCGCAAGTGTCCATGGGCGAAGGTAGTCACTTACCATCAGGTGACCCGTATGCTAGTTTGCCCCCTAATTAATACTTGTTTAGGATTACTCTTAGTAGTAATATTTTATCCACCTAGGTATCTATATGTAGGTTGACGTGAATGTCCCCCTAGCAGGTGAAGCCCGTGAAGGGCCTGGAGTGGCAGCAGGGCGCCGTGAGCTGCGCGCGCTGGTCGGGCGCGCTGCTGCGCGACGTGCTCCTGCACTGCGGCCTCGACACCCGCCACACGCACGGACTGCACGTCATCGTATGTACCACCACCTGCAGGGTCACCTCTTTGATCATCAATCATTTTAGTAAACTGTATTCTTTAATTTGCCATCATTAGGGATGGTATTTTTTTCTTTCTCTCTCTCTTTCTAAGAGACCAAACGGAATGTATATCCTACCAAATTAAGAATTGTCCCAATCGAATCATAAATAACGGAGTTCTGATTTGAAAACAAATTTAAAAAAACTCCAAAATTTTTATTAAATAAAAATTATAAATAAATAGCACGATTTTATACCGATTTCTTATTGAATATGACCTCGTTCAGTTCACAGGTTCGGACATGGACGCGACCGGTACGTACTTTAGCACGTCCATACCTTTGGAGCAAGCGCTGAACCCGAACAGCAGCGTAATCCTGGCCACGCACATGAACGGAGAAATCTTGCCGAAAGACCACGGATACCCGCTGAGGGTCATAGTGCCCGGTGCTCCTGCCGTCAGAAGTGTCAAGTGGCTACGTAAGTACTGTAGATATTTGTTGTTTGAATGCCAATATTATAATTTGGCTTCTTACAGGTGACATAATAATAGAACCAGGTGGTGAACTTCACAATGGTTATTATTAAGCCCTTCGAATTTAGACTTAAGATTCAGTTCCACCAGATTTTAGTTAAAAAAGCAAAAAAAAGGCGTAGTGTTTTTTTTTCATAAAAAATTAGTTTGCTTTTTCGTTTTTTTTTTAGTTTTTTTAACGGTAATTATATTCTTGTTAAATGTTATTGTGTTATTTCTGCAGTGTAAAAGATGAAAAAAACCAATTTTCTTTCTTTCCTAATAACTTTATGGCCATCTTTAAATAATTTCACACACAATAATGTGAAACGACTGCACGGATGGCGTAGTGGTTAAGGCGGTCGCCACGCCGCTTCCTACTGCGCCGAGTGTTGTGGGTTCAAACCCCACATGGGACGACACTTTGTGTGATCCACAAATTGTTGTTCTGAGTCTGGGTGTTCTTTGTGTCCGTTTCATGTATGTTTGTAAAGTCCCCCGCGACACAGGATTTATTCCTAATGCGGGAGTTGTCTTTTAAAAAAAAAAAAAAAACAAAAAAAAAAAAAAAAATTATGATGTCAATACGTGTGAGCGGGGGTGGTATCGTGTGACAGGAGACAATCTAAAGCATTCAAACACGACATAATTGTAAACGATAATCTGAAATAATATCATCTTTAAAATAAATATTGTTTATGCCAGGGTTGTTGCGAATGTCATCAGTATCCGTCTTATCAGCATTGGTTTTATATTCAGCATCAGCATCCGCAATAATCGATGTTGATTTTAATGCTGACAAGTTGTAACGTGTTCGTTGAAAGTGGGACCTAGCGCCAGTCACGTAGAGTTTTAACCAATCATAGACAGTGTACAAGAAAAACGTAACCCTTCCTTGGCAGTCCCCTAAATAAGCTGTCATCTGTTCCCTAATTCGATTGTTTGGTCAATGTAAATTGATTGGATGTTTGCGATCTATGCTTCCATACTTTTATAATTTGAGTGTGTCGGTTTGTTAATCCTTTCAATAATACCTATTCTTTCACCAATAGTAAACCACATTATAAGCGAGGAAAGGCTATGTGAAGGAACGGGTGTCATGTCCCTCCAACACAAAGGGAGGATCCTCCGACCAGGCGAGGTGATCAGGCCCGACGGTTGATGTTGGGAAGTTGTATATATGCTAATCGGCGAGGGAATTCTTTATATCGCGATACAGGATTAGCAATTCTTATTTTTAGTAGTTACTCCGTAGTTCGATGTGTCTTCATTAGATGGCGCTGTAGTATGTTTCTGTTTCTTTGTATGTAGGAGTCGTCACAGCTATTTTTTACCTTGGTAACCGACATACAGAGCTAGTTTATAGTATAAGTATGGATAACTTGTGTTTTATTCAAAATATTAAGTTACATTTACTAATAATTTTATACTAGAATATGTTTTATTAAAGTAACTTTCTAATATCAATATCAATATCCGCTGATATTGATCTAAAAAAATCAGCATCCGCACTCGTTGATACAGTAAAAACCTGAATCAGCAACAACCCTGGTTTATAGTGTTCAATGTGCGAGTTTTCGCTGGCAAATATCATTTTCACACCCTAATGTGTACCCTAGAGAGGAAACATCCGTGAAATGCCAACGTCAGGTCAGTACACCAAACAAATATTGCCAACAGAGTCGATAACCATTTCGAAGGAGGAGAGTTCGTCCCACTGGCACCAGAAGGACTACCGCTCGTTCAACGCGTCCAAGACGTGGGAGACGGCGGACTTCGCGTCTGCGCCGCCCGTGTACAGCCTGCCCGTCACCTCCGCCATCTGCGACCCCGTCGACGGGGACACGTGCGCCGTCAAGGGCGGCTGCATCGAGGTCAAAGGTGCGCTTTTAGATTATTGATCTAACTCGATTGATTTCGATGACATTTAATTTGAGATATATCTTATATATAAAATTCTCGTGTCATAATGTTCGTTCCCGTACTCTTCCGAAACGGCTTGACCGATTCTTATGAAATTTTGTGTGCACATCGGGTAGGTCTGAGAATCGGCCAACATCTATTTTTTCATACCCCTAAATGGTAAGGGTGACCCATCCCTATTCTTTTTTGTTTTGCAATGCAACGTTTGCCGGGTCAGCTAGTATACAGTAAAAACATATAAAGTATGAGAGGGTCTCGTGATGCCTCTCGAGCAAATCCTGAATAACTGGTCTTACGGTCGCGATAACGGCGTGCTCAGCGCTCGGTTGCCCGAGTCCACTCCTCTACGAGGACCCGGTGGAGTTGGGATTTATGGTCCTCGATTTCTCGAGTCTCAGGACCCCGACCCAACTCCCGCGCCTCCTTGAGCCACTGATACTGAGCCGCAAGGGCTCTCGCCTCCAAGTGTCATGGTGGAGTGCCGGCCAGGAAACTGGGCGCCTCAAAGGAGATCGTGCGGCACTCGCTGCGGTCGTTGCAGTAGTGCGACGTTGCTAGCCCTCAGGGCCTCCGCCCATACTGGTGCCCCAGAAATGGCCATAGACAGCAGAACCCCCGAGTAGAGTCATCAGCTGCAGGAGTCATCGGATCCCTTCATGTTGGGCAGCAGCCGCGCCAATGGACGCCCAGTTCCAACCAACTTTGAGACCAGACCTCGGAATTGATGTCCGAACTCCCATCGGCCATCGAGTACGAGCCGCAGAAACCTCATCGAGGGCTCGATGGCGATGCGAGTGCCTCCTACTATGAGGCTGGATCCCTCGAGTAGCTTCCTCCGAGTCCCATGGAAGAACGAGGCCTCGGATTTGTGCAGAGCCATCTCGAGACCCAGCCGCCATGCAGTAAACACCTAAGTAATAAAAAAAATCATTAATTTTACTTTTCTAAATAAAAAACACTTGACGCCATGTTACTCATTCGTCATGACGTCTTTTTGTTTAAAGAATTATCGTTTTTATTGTTTGTGAGTGGGAAAGAACAATAATGCAACATCCCTAGTACATACGCACTGTCGGTGGCAGGGTACGCGTACTCGGGCGGGGGGGCGCGTGTGGTGCGCGTGGACGTGTCGGCGGACGGCGGCGCCACGTGGCTGCAGGCGCAGGAGCTGGCGGCCGACCCCGCGCCGCCGGGCCGACACTACGCCTGGATGCTCTGGACGGCCTCCGTACCCGTCCCCAAGGGCCTGAAGCAGGTACGTACTTGGGCGAGAAGCCGAGCTACTGGCCGTCAAAAACACTCAATTTTTTCCATGGGATCAAACGAGTAGACTTGTCACCTGTTGGTAAGTGACTACCGGACCGGTCCTTGGTAAGTCTTTCAGTCCCCTACCCCCACAAATAGGGGTTTTGGACTCCGACAACCTCACTCGGTACAAACCAATGTCAGAATTACTTAACACCGGTTTTTGTGAGGCCTTGGCTCTGATCGAACCTGCCCGTTTGTTTCTTTACAGGTGGAATTAAGGGCGAAAGCAACAGACAATAACTTCAACACTCAACCGGAAAAATTCGAAGATATTTGGAATATCCGGGGCATATTGGGCAATGCATATCACAAGATCAATGTGAAACTAAATCATTAATAGATTCCTTCTTCTCTTACAAGTAACGCATAATATATTTTTCTATCAGAGTACAAAGTGCGCCTTAGAAAACTGTTTTTTATAAATACAACGACGAGCAAACAAAGTCACGGGAGGTTTTGGGCAATTTCGAGACCACTACTTATTAAAACTATCACTGACTGTGAAATGTATTTCTCTAACAGAACTCGAACGTACAATATTAGAAACCAGCGTTTATCCTTTGTTTTACCTAGTAGAGAAATTTCTTGAAATCCTTTTTAGTGGGTGCTTACAACATAAAAATTGCCAAAATTTCAAGTTGGTAGAAATAAAATCACAATCACCAGGTATAAATCATATAGTCACACCTATGACTAATTTGCAAAACCACTACGACTTATGATTTACTAAATATTATCTAAATATAAAAAAAAAGGTTGGTTTGATAAAGTTTAGTCTTTTCTTTGATTAAGTTTTGATGGCATTTATCTTTGTCTATGACCAAATCCCAGTAGTGTTTTATCACAGGTGAAATCGCAGTGACCGATGCCAATGATTTTCTCATATGATTATGATTTTAACGTAGTAATAATTTCCAACACTAGTCGCTACGTTGATAAATCAGTCAGTGAATCAGAGCAAATAATTTATATAGATGGATTTATTGAATTCTGTGAATGTCTGACGTACAAAAGTCGCTCAATCGAGATATTATCTTCCATCTTATATTTGAACTGCGATATCGTTTTATTGTTTTGTTTGTGTCACACCCTAACTTTCAACTATTAAAGGTCACTGAACAAACTACGTTTTTTTATACATGATAAGTGAATGTATATGTATATACATAACAGAAAAATAAAATCTATAAACAGAACTGTGTTTTCTTTATACACCCTTTTTCGTGTGGAAATTCCCTCGGATATAAATACTCGGACTCGAACCAACTAGAAATCGCACGCTGTCTCGGGTAGTACCTGGGAAACCAGGTGTACCCTAGACAGCAAATCCCTAGTACCCCGGGCGATCTACGGTTGGTAGATGACCCCTCGAATGTGGGGGCGCTGCTTTTGCTAGGGTGACAGATACCCCCAAATGACACCCACAGGCCTGCGCTTCTGGAGGACAGAAGTCGTTCAGCGTCTTTACATACCCCAACTGAAAGCGAAATTCAAAAGCTCACAGAAAAATCTACATTTAACTTAAATTAACTTTACAGTGTCACCACCCCTATTCATCCCGTGGGTGTCGTAAGAGCCCGACTAAGGGAGAAAACTACGCAGAAAAACAGCACTGCAGAGAGAAGGAAAACTTGACACAAACCCTATACCAACCCGTCTGGGCAGCGTTGTATAGTAGGCCAAAACCTCCTTTCTAAGGAGAGGCCTATGTCCAGCAGTGGACTATTGAAGGCTGTTGATGTGATGTGATAAAATTGAGACAAGCCCTTATAGTAGTCATGTGATAGAGTGATATACCTAAACTTTTTTATGTATTATTTGAAGTCGTTCAAAAGCATTGGTTCTCCATAACTAATTTTGATAGACATGTTCTCAACTACCAAACAGTATTGTCCATTTAAACATAGTAAGAAATGAAGTCGCATTTTTCGCTACTTTTTTATACGCTTAGGTCTTTCAAACTGCGCATCGAATTTCAATGCGGTTTTCACCAATAGAGAGAGTGATTCAAGAGGCGCTTTTGGATGTAAAATACATACTAAAGCGCCTCTTGGACAATATATGTACAATTATGTACCTTAATACTAATATAGGCTAAGTTTAAATGTACAGTAGTAACTTTAAACATAGCCTTCCATCGGACACACCCTACCTTTCCTACCCTGGCTATCATCTGGAACACTCCTCTGTTGCTAGGGCTGGAGTGTTCTGTTCAGCTGTTCTGGCGTAATTAAGTAACAAAAATCCTTCCGAACTTCAACATGTATAATTCTAGTATAGATTTTGACCTCTAGGCGAATACTATTAGGTATACCTAATGTTAATCAGTTTTACACCACAGCGAGCAATATTTCAGGCTTCAGCAATATTTCAGGATATATCAAGTAGATAGATGACAGGAATAATCTAACAATTCAACTCGCAATAAACAAAAGATGCGACAACAATTAATTTAGACGCTAATACTGGACTTATCAGGTTTCCACGAGAGTACACTCGTAATTATTGTTCAGTCAAACGATTTGTAGGCATGTATTGTTCCCAGGGATCATAATCTACCGACCTTTAGTAATTGATAACTGTTCAAGATACTGTTATCTACTTCTCGTCAATAATTAGCCATAATGTGTTACTACACATCATATATACCGTGGGTGTGTTTGTTCGTTTCGAGATATATCCTAGAAAACCTAGGATAAGTCCCTATTATCAACTTATTAACGTCCGTTAGTAGTGTCAATAGGTCGTACGCGGTAGTCACTTACAATCGCGTGACCCGCAGAAAATTTATAATTGACAAATTTTAATACCAAATTTTGAGTATGAGATTATTGCGTCGAATACTCAGGAATTTTCTATACCTGTTCGATTGCCGCTATTATAATCGTTATTTAAGTATTCATCGTAAAACACACACATAAACATACACAGTTTAGTGTGGTCGGTTTAAACCAGTTTTAACTATGTTCGGAATGCTTCTAGCGGTCAACAACTTTAAGTCTGTAAAAAAAAACTACAAGTTTACGACTGTATATTCGTGTTTACGAAATTATATTACTCTTGAAAGGAAATATGTACAGTCGAGTTGGCAACACTTCGCGTTTATTAAAGTCGAAGGTCAGCGAGATATAAAATATTCATACTGCCTACGTTAATAATAGTAGTGTCTAGTTTAGAATCGCCGGCAGACTGCAACGTTAGACTCGATAGTCGCCGGCTACAAACTCAATATGTTTGTAGTTAGAATTATTAAAAGTAAAATTAACAACGTCGGTAATTTACTGCCAACGAGTTCAAGACAAGTTCACAATTACAATCATTTATATAAAAACATTAGTGAAGATAATGTTAAAGTTGTTATTCGTGGTGAATCTCTGCAATTTCCCAACGTGTGGTTGAGGGAAAACTGTCAATGTAAAGAATGTTACCACAATTCTGCACAAAGCAGGATACTTGATTGGAGTAAATTCAACCTCAACGTCAAACCGACTAATGTGCGGGAAAATGAAAACACAAATTCTCTGCATGTCACCTGGGACGATGGACATGTTTCAGAATACAACTTCAACTGGTTAAAGTTTAGAAGTTTCACACCGGCAAACCAGAAGAAATACACAGAAACTATTTATAAACCTAAGAATATTACATGGCACGGCAAAGACTTTAGTAAAATATTGTACAAACAGGATTACAATGATATCCTAAACTCTGATGCAGCTCTTTACGACTGGCTACACATGCTTTCAATTTATGGTGTTGCATTGATTCAAAATACACCCCCCAGTGAAACAGCTGTAGATGATGTAGTAAAAAAGATTGGCTTCGCTAAACAGACGCATTACGGATCCAAGTTTGTCGTACAGCACGTTGAAAATACTAGTAACGTTGCATATTTGTCGAGCAACTTACAATTACATACCGACTTGCCTTACTACGAGTACTGCCCGGGAACAAACCTGTTACACTATCTAGTTCAAACCGTTAGTCAAGGGGGTGATAACTTATTATCAGACTGTCACTATACTGCTAACTACATGAAGGAAAATCACCATGAACAATATGAAATATTAACGAACGTTGAAGTCGAATGGAGGGATGTTGGAACTGAATTTGGAAATGATTTTTTTAAACTACATCGCGCTCCTGTCATATGTTTGGACCGTCATGAAGAAATAACAAGAATTAACTTTTCAATACCCCAAAGAGGGAGTCACTTTCCTGGGCCTATAGAATTAGTTAAGCCTTGGTATGAAGCTCATAGTTTGTTTTGGAATTTAAACCACAAGTTTGCGGCGAAGTTTAAAGCCTGTTCTGGTGACATTCTAGCTTTTAACAACATCAGACTGTTGCATGGCCGCAGTGCATACGAGGACAGTTCTGATAATGTCAGAAAAATTATCGGTACCTATCTCGACTGGGATGAGATTTACTCAAGACTGAGATGTTTAAAAGTGAAGTTAAAAAACGAGGATGGTTTATGCTGATATATTTAAACTTAAACTAGGTTAAGTATTATGTAACAATATCTAATGAATAATACAACATAAATGTATAGATCAATTGGTTATTTTTAATCCTTATCCTTTGTGAAACATTACTGTTATAGAAATCTAATTTGTCATTGGTAATCGACCAAGTACTACCTATATGATTTACATCTCGCCGCATACTCACACCACAAAGTCCGGCAACACGCTTGTGACTCCTGAATTGCAAGCGTTCATGGGGGGTGGTAGTACCTTACCATCAGATGTCCCATTTGATAGTTCGTCTGTTTTTTTTGTTTAAAAAGACAACTCCCGCATTAGGAATGTATCCTGTGTCGCGGGGGACTTTACAAACATACATGAAACGGACACAAAGAACACCCAGACTCAGAATTACAATTTGTGTATCACACAAATTCGATCGAACCCATAAAATAAGCAGCAGTAAGCGGCGAGGTGACCGCTTGTACCACCACGCCATCAGTTCAGTCTGCCATTCTCCAATTATATTTTTGTTAATTGTGGATAATAACAATCAGTGTACGAATATAAAGTGTATGTAAATATGAATGTATATGTGTTCACACAAAGTATCTTCCCATGTGGGGATCGAACCCACAACACTCAGCGTAGTAGGAAGCGGCGTGGCGACCGCTTAAACCACTACGCCATCCATGCAGTATTAATAACATAAAGTGCTTTATATCATTAAAAAATCTGGGACGTAGCATAATGATAAATATTTAATTCCTTTTTTTTTATTAATTCTTATTTCAGATTCTCCGGGGTGGTAACAATGATCCCGAAATAAGAAAATTAATAATTGTAATTATCACTTTTATTTGTATGTTTATTGTATTCACTTATTGTTTTTTTTTTTTTTTTAATAACTCCTCACAATATACATTTTAAGTTCATGGTACAATTCTATTTAGGGTTGTGGTAAGTGGGTAGTTTATTGTAATTGAACTGTGCACACGTCCGTGAGGTACCTTTGGGCTTTAGCTGAAAATCAGCGCTGTGGTCACTTTTAGGGACTATAGCATAGGCTGAGTTGTGGCCCTTTAGTCACACACAGTGATCATTTTATTCTTTTGTACTTGTTTGTTTTTGTTATTGTATGTGCTATTCTTCAGTTGAGCAAATTGTTTCTTTTCTTTTTCTCTTCTATGTTATATCTGTAATTCCTTTTTTGGCTGTGTTTGTGTTGTGACTAATAAACGTATTTTCTTTCTTTCTTTTTTTCAAACACCAAAAATCATTGTATAAAAATACATAAGGTAATAATAAGCACCATATAAAATAATTAATGAATTTTAAAATTCAGATAGCCATCAAAGTTCTAATTTCACTTAACTAGTTATGCCCTACAGTTTATATAAAATCCTAAACTATATACTTGAGCAAATAGCCAGAAATAGAGGGACCGTAGATTCCTGCAGATCTTAGCCAAGAACATAGTATAGTAATAATGTTTAAAACATTATTTTAAGCTCTATTTTACCAATGTCGTAACCATCATCTGGGTAGGTTGGCTTTTTCACTTTCTTTATCAGACTTCTTTTAAACAGCTTCTTTGAGTTACCAGCAAGCAAATACCTGTTCATTGCTTACACTGTGCATCACTCTGTATACACAACATCCCATTTTTATTGCCTTCCTATCCGACCAATTTATAGATGTATATACTACTGTGTTTAATACACCTTTGTGTTTAGGAATACTTGCGTAGATGAACATATATGTAGGTATATATAATCTGTTTCCTAACTCTTGATAAGAATTTTAAAATCATCATTAGCCTATAAGGCCTTCCTTCCTTCTGACTATCCCGGTCTTGGACAATCTGACTTTATCCACTGCCAGTCGTCGGTCCATCGTGCCGCTAGGAGGCAATCATGGTCACCACATATCAGCTTCAGTGACCATCAGTCCGCCTGTGGACATGACCAGCCCACTATCACTTATATATGTCTAATAATAATTATTAGGTATGTATTTATAAAGTGAGTGACGATTTGCGCAAGATGGCTGGCAGGAGTTGGATGCGAGAAGCCCAAAATCGATCTAAGTAGCGTGCAATGGGAGAGGCCTATGTCCATCAGTGGACTGCGATAGGATGATGATGATGATGATGTATTTATAAACATAAAAATATGTTTTTCAGCAGTCTTTGGGATCACATGGCTGTGTGTAAGATATTATTACTACAGATCTGACATAAATCTTCTAACTTTAATTCACATGTCACACACGGCCGTCTGATCCCAAACTAGTCAGAGCCTGTACTATGGTAACCAGACTACTAATAAACATACTTATAATTTTTTTAAACATACACATTGTAGATAAATACACTCGAACACAGAACAAATGACCATACTCATTACACAATATTTGTCCTGTGTGAGATTCGAACCCACAACCTCCGGCTTAGCAGTCAGGGCCACTGACCACTAGACCAATAATAAATCAGTTAATTTTAGAAGCAATAATTCAGTTAGTGACAATATAGGGTAAAAATACTTTCAACGATGGAGGATCAAATGACTGAAAACTTTTAAATATTAACAATATATTTTGGTTCATTCATGTAAAAATATTCTTATAAACAACTTAATTGCTATTGTAATCATAAACATTGCTTAGTAAGCATTATATAGTAAGGTGATGTTGTAAATAAACTATACCTGTCTATGTAATTTAAAAAAATAAAGACACTTTAATTCAGTCTATGTATTCAGTGACATAATAAATAATTAAACCAAGTTGGTGACATATTTTGCTTGATGTTAGGTTCTTCATAATAATGTTTAATAACACTACTTTTGGTAAGACAAGGGCATTATAATTAGAAAATCAGTTAAAATATACTAAAGGGATATAAAATTACCCCTTTATCCCAGAAAACATACTTCTATGGAATTCTTTTTATGCCACTAGGCAATATTGCAAGGTCAATATTGGTGAGCAAAAATATATCTCAATATCTAATCTATCTACTGACTGATTCGATGGCGCAGTGGTAGTTTATGCTACTGCTGTGTGAGGGCTCGGGTTAGATGCCCGGGTAGGGCTAAATGTTTGTATGATCTGCTAATATTTGTTTCGGAGTTTGAGTGCTTTCTATGTATAATATGTAGGTATGTATTTACAAAAAAAAAGTATATAAGTATTCTATCAGTCATTCTAGCTTTCATAGTACAAGCTCTGCTTTGTTTGAAACTTATTATTATTTTTACTACCCAATCTAAAATAGTTCTCATATAAAATTACAAGTATAAAATTACAATTGCATCTTGCCTTGTCTTACAGAGGGGCACCTCAGCAACATTTCTTTGAAACAAGAAAACACAAGGCTTCTAACTTTAATTTTTAATAATAATTTAAAATAACTATGATTGTGTGCTGCAGTCAGTGCATAGGATGAAGAAAATTCGAAGACCATAAATTAATTGGTCTTCGAATTTAAACTCTAAATTTACTACCTACAACGATTAGTTTCTAATATTACAAGATATATTACCTTTTAGAACAAAGTTACCTATTTTACCTGGTAGGTACCTAATATATGAATTAATAAATCACTATTTTACCTCTATATATGTATCTATAAAGTGATCGCGTATTGATAATCTTCTCAGAGGGATTATTTTGCATCTTGCATCTTCCATTGTCTTGTAACTACGTTCTTCAACTTCAATCAATGGAAAATCTTCCAATTCAGGATTGGCTGCAATACTCACTGCTGTTGACTCATTCGTATGAATATAAATCGTAAAACTGGCATCCTCTGATAAATCCTTAAAGTTATTGGACACTGATGACAACTTTAAGCAAAATGCTCTCAGATTTTGTTCTGATTGTATTAAATAGGCGTCTATTGTTTCATCAAACTCATTATTTTTATCAAACTGGAACATGAATTTTAATATAGGTTTATATTCGTCGTCTGTTACGGCAAACTCCACACAATTTAGTTGCGCATTTTTTAAACATTCGGCTATATGTTTTAGGCACAAATCTATGTATTGGTTAACTTCAGGGTGAATTGACCTATATACGACTAAATTGAATTTTTTTCTGGTTTCAAAAATAGTTTTAGGATAAATTGAGGTATAATAAAGTATATTATGAAAAGCAATACACAGAAATTCCACAGTTACATCGATGAAACAGTTATCCATTGTCGTTATTCACATTCAGTTTCATAACATACATATATTCAAAGTACTCCTTAGGTATTCTTTAAGGAGGTTATAGGTATTCGGTAAGGATCTTTTTACAAGTTTTTACACTTTTTATTTGTTAGAGGAAAGCGGCGGGTCTTTCTTGTGCCGTCGGGGGGGGAGATGATCAGTCAGCAGTGTTGCCAACAGTTTGATGAGCCCTCTACCAGATTCAACATCTAAATTAATCTAAAACAACTAACGATAAACGACCCTATTCTAATAGGCGTTAAATTTGCTTCTAAACATTTTTTTAGTAATTACGAAAGAAAACCATAAGTATAATAATAACTAGTTGCCTTATTTAAAAACACTGTTACTAACCGTTTTTGTCGATTCCATCATCGTCGGTTCCAGATTAATACGATTCTTTGGTACCGATTTGTTTTTCAACGTTTATTGGAATTTCATATTTGTTGAAGCATTCTTGTTTCAACTTTAAAACAAAGCGTATTCTTAATATAGCAGATTAAAGATTTTTTGGACTAATCTCTAGACTAGTCTCTCAACTCAATATCGGCATTGACACGGGGCAGTATTAAGAGAGTAATATAAAAGGTCGCTAATTCCTAAATCAAATGACGAAATCCTTTGGCCCCTCTAGTATGTGTAAGTTCCTTTACACGTTGGGCACTAGTAGACAATAATGGAATGAGATTCATTGGTTTGATTCTTGAATGATTTAATTTCTCTTCTGCTTCTCAACCGGATCATTTAACATAGAGTCGGACCCTAAATTATATCGCAGTCTACTCAGATCAAATATTTTCAACTTTGAATTTTCTCCTGTGCCTTCTAGGGACATCAATCATCATCATCTGGGATCATGCTGTCTGTCTGTTATAACGCAACGGGTTGCAAGCCTTGGGGCAAGCCATCCTGGATTACGTCCTCGAAGTCCTTTCTCGACTCCGAAACCTTTTTCGCCACTAAAAGGGGGGTTGAAACCACCAGTTTTAATGGAAAATACAATACCTTGACAACACTGTCAGTCAGTGTTAGCTGTCAATCAGTATGTCCGAGGGCCTAAAGTCCAGCCGCTCAAAGAATGCATTTCTGACATCTGTCAATTCGTCATGACTAGTGATGTACAATAAATAACTTTGATAATGTTTAGTAACGTTATTTATTGCATTCATTTTGCATATTTATTCAATTTAATTTATATGTTGTTATTTTTTATAGGAATTATATTTCAATATATTCAATAAATATTCACGATGTAAATAAATTTTTAATGAATCAATTAATTGAATAGGATCGAAAATTCTGAATGTAACAAAAGGAATAAAAATAAAAATGCTTTATTTATTGGAAAATGTATATTATGAAATACATAGTTTTAGCCTTAATGAAGACTATGTCAAACAATTTAATCTTCCAATTCGCTTGAGGAGTCGCTGTCATCTTCACTAACGTGTATAATCATATTATTGTCAATCATAGTATCTATACGGATATCGCGGTCAAAGTCATCAAATATAATCTTTTTAGTTTTTTCAACCACCTTCATCCAGTCATCTCTTGTGACTTTTTCGCACGCATCTTTTAAAAGCATCTTCATCTTTTTATGGCATACGGTGGAGAAGTATTATGACGGGCTGCATAACCTTTAATTTGAGCCCAAATTAGCTCAATGGCGTTGTACTGCAGTGGTACGGGGAATTCGGAGAACGCGATGACCGTACTCCAGAGCCAACTCATCTATTTCATATCGAACATTTGTCGGCTTATGGTTATTGCCTAATTTCATCAGCTTTGCTTTTAGCATTGACATTTTTGCGTCAATGCCACCACATAGAATGACGACTTCATCGTCACGGTGACCGCTTTCGGTGTTGCGATTAGCCCGCATTAAAATATTCACCGATCGCAATACTGACCGCGCTCGCTATTGAGAGCGATTTGATGTGAAAGAAACTCATACTACACTGACATATTGTACTCTACTATAATACTTCATACTTACCAGGGATGTTAGAATGTGGCCCAATAAAGCTGGTACATTAGTGGCTAAAATTATTTAGTTATATTAATAAAAATAATAATAGAGAATCGTTTTTTGTATGTCTTATTATATAATCTTGATTATTTAAGAAAAAAACATACCTGATAAAAAATTATCAAAAATTGTTATTATTAATATTATAACGAATAATAATTATTCTCATTATTCGTTAACGTTTTTATTATTAGATCTTATAAATGTCTATACATAATTTGAAAAAATTAAATAAAAATCAACCGTAGGTTATATTGACCGAATTTTTATATTATTTTCTGACAAAATCATACCCATCATCCATGGATAATTTACTCGATTGATAAAGTTAATCTGCAGTAAGTTACTCAATGGGTCAAAAAAAACAGTGCCACGCTGGGAGCGGCGACAGAAATGAAAACACGAAAAAACCTTGTTTTCTTCGATTCGAAAAGTTCCGAGAAGACATTAGCGTATTGTTCACGTGACTAGCAATAGGGTATTTTACTCCATCATCATCAACAGCCTATAATAGTCTACTGCTGGTCATAGGCCTCTCCTTTTTTCGTCAAATAACGGAAGAAATTTGAAAGTGTATTAGAATGCATTTTAATGGCACTTTTCGATACAAAAAAATGGGTTTTCTTTCCTTGCAGAGCTGTGTGTGTGGCGACTGGTGGGTGCATAATTAGAACAGATAAGATACAGTATTTTAAATTTTTATCAGTTGTAAGATGTTATTGTATGTTGTCATATTATGTACTGAATAAATACGTAACTATTATTTTTGTTGTGTATTATGACTAAACTGAAGAGTTAATTTGTTAGAGAATTTTTATTTTTAACCTTTATTTTTGAAGTGATAACTTCTTAGGGGAAGGTAAACCGCTTCGTTACGTAACGCGTTATGGCGCCAGTCTGTCTGGCTTCCCTTTCTCTCATGCATTTGACAGCGGTAGGCAGGCTCCTCCTCTCTCACTCTAACCCACAGCGCTTGTCGTATTTCGAACAGGCGCTTTACATAAAATTTAAGTTTTTTCTCAAGTTAAACAATTTTAATATTAAATAGTTCAACTTAGATTAGTTTAAGTTATCACTTCTGTCGGGCGTCCCGTACCCTCACGTTTTTTCCCCCAAGTCCCGTCTAAGTGTTCAATACCTGGTTGGCTATGAGTATAAAATTAATTTTTGCATCAAGATTAAGTAAAAGATGAAGAATAAACAGTTATTTGTCTAGAAGATTCGTTACATATTCAGCAAAATATTAACTAAGTAGATTAATTAGTCCAAAAAATTAAAAAATCATATCTCCCCTACAAAAATTTAAAATAAATTTTCTCTTAACTTTCGACATTTAGAAGAAAGGATGCAATGTTATATTAAATTAAAAATAGTAGAAAAACTTATTCCAATTTGTGGTATTCTATGAGGTTGGTGTTAGTCAATAAAGCTGAAAACATTGGTCTCTCAGTTCAAATGTTTTAGTAAAATTCGACTTTATTTACTTTTTTACAACTAATTTATTGTGTCATTATTTCTATTTAACTACTTATTTCACAGAGGTATTTAAGATAAATAGAGTAAATTAGTCGTATTTTGTATTCCTTGCGATTACTTCATGTTTTGCAGATTCCTCAGTTGACATTAATAAATTGAGTAATCTAGAAATACCGCGTCATAAAACTGTAATATCATATTATTATGTGGAATATTGGTAGAATATAGACTACTTAGGCATTACTTAAAATATTTAAGAAAATCATAACCAAATTCTCAAATAAAAATGATTGACCCAGACATAGTCCTTCGAGATATAAGCTATGTCACTTTATGCACGCGTCTGGATTGAGGGCCCAAGTTCAATCCTAACAAATTTAATTCTCGTACAAGAAATTTATGGCCCTTCTTATTTTGTTTCGCAAAGGTTTAAAAAATGGGCCCTCGATTTAGATGCACACTCAAAACACCAGCGGTCCGAAACGCCCTTTTTTTTTCTGTGCGGAAATTCCCTCGGATACCACCTGTCGGTGGCATGTCGGACTCGAACCGACTAAAACCGCACGCCGTCTCGGGTACTAATAGCCGGGGAACCAGGTATAATCTAGAAAGGAAGTCCCTGGTGCCCCGACAAGGTCCGAAACGCCCTAACACCCGTTTTACCTACCAGTTGGACATAGCGGTTGGACCAGGGGTCGGGTTTTTAGCGAATTTATTAGCTCTATAGAATCTATCGAGACACAAAATGGGTGTGAAAACTGTTTTTAAATCTATAAAACGAGAAAAAATTATGTAAAAGAATAAAGGTTCAATATAACAGCACTTAGGCTGCCCTCGAAAATTTAAATATTTTAGTTTTAAATTAATTACTGTTGTTGCCATGCGTTGTGGCCTCACGAAATAGTGAAAATTAGTTAAAAATCATACCTTCAAACGAGACCCATTGGGTACTATTTAATTTTATTTTGAGGTATTTGTAATACTGCTCCTACTACAACGAAATAGTGAAAATTAGTTAAAAATCATACCTTCAAACGAGACCCATTGGGTACTATTTAATTTTATTTTGAGGTATTTGTAATACTGCTCCTACTACATATTATGGAAGAATAATAAAATGAACTGAACAGACGGCGTAGTGGTTTAAGAGGTGATATCGCCGCTTCCTACTGCGCCGATTGTTGTGGGTTCGATCCTAACATGAGACAACACATGATCCACAAATTGATGTCTTGACTCTGGGTGTTGTTTGGGTTCATTTCATGAATGTTTGTTCAGTTCCCGGCGACACATATTGCCAGTGCCAAAAAATATGTATTTAATAAATAAAACTGTTTAATGATTTAACAAATAATATCTAACACAGCATTTATTTTGTTCTACACTACTTCCTATTTCTTCTTGTCTGTTTCTTCATCTGGAATTCCCTCTAAGCCCTGAAATTAATTATAGATCAAGATTAAATTCAACATTGTTTGTTGACCCTAATATCTAATAAGTATCTAGAATGTCAACTAAAACTTTGGGTAAAGGCTCTATGGAACTACAGACTTTGGCCAGGCTCGACTGGTTTTTGTTTTTTTTTTACATGTGGAAACCCCGTCGGGCCGTCACCGGGGTGGTGTGTCGGAATCGGATCGATTATTTGTAACCACACTGTGTGCCACTCTGCGCCTATAATAGGAGAGATCTGGGCACTTCCCAAGGAGCAGGAGATCCTAAGGGATTTAAAAAAAATAGAATTAACATCATTTTCTCATCGGAATTTAACAAAGTAAAAAAGACATAAAAATCAGTTAATATCAAGTGTATACTAAGACTCTGCTGTCCGTCCGTCTGTCTGTCTGTCTGTCCATCTGTCACCATAAACTGTGATAGTCTATCAGTTGAAATTTTCACAGATGATGTAATTCTGTTGCCGCTATAACAACAAATACTAAAAACAGAATAAAATAAATATTTAAGCGGGCTTTCATACATCAAACGTGATTGTTTTTAAAGATAATGGGACGGAACCCTTCGTGCGCGAGTCCGACTCGCACTTGTCCGGTTTTTAATACAAATAACGTTAAAATACTTAGATAATTATTTTATGAAAAAACATTAAGTAATACACACAATTTATAGAGTATCTTGAAAGTTTCAAGTAAGAACTTGTGTTAATTAATATGGGTCGATTTTTTGACCTCATGAACCCTAAAAATCGGTTTTCGTTTATGTCGACCCATGGGAACTCTATTTCGACCACTTCGGGAATCCCTGATCTGGGATATCTCGTTACCGGCATACCCTCCATGGCCAGTAATAATAATAATAAATCTCTCACCAGGTATAAATATATAAAGATTAACTTAAGCTAGGTTAGACAGGTACAAATGGCGGCCTTATCGCTCAGAGGCAATCTCTTACAGGCAACCTTGGTATGGAGAGAAAAACATAAAGGCAAGGAGGTGTAGGGTAGTGGCTGATGTACTAAGAAAATACGAGTAGATTAGGAGAGGAAATCAATGTAGCATCTATATAAATATTTAAAAAAAAAGTGATAATTACAACAAAAAATAACTGGTAGGACTAGGTCTAGGACTCTGATACGACTTAGGTGAATATATGACAGATGTTTCACCGCGGTCGCATCCTGCTGCGAAGACGTCATCTCGCACAAGGAGGCGGCGGAGAGGGCCCGGGAGGAGGTAAACATCCACTCGGACCCAATTAGTCGCCGGCGAACCGGGCGGCGAAGACACGCTTACCACCGCCTCATGCCACCCCGAGTGTAGTCGCGGGTGGACGGCCATAACGGCCAGCGGCCAGAGGAGGCGACGTTCGCGTGTGCCGGACGTCGCCTAAATGGAGAATGCAACCGAAGATGGTGCTCGCGCCTTTGTGGGCAGGCACTAGGAGGGGTCCAAATGTCTTAAAAGTAGCAGTTCCCGGATCGGACAGGCGCAGAGTAGCACACCGTGTGGTTTTAGTCGGTCCGATTCCGACACACCACCCCGCCGCAAACCCCGATAGGGCGATTGGACGAGGGGTTTCCACACGAAAAAAAAAGGCCAATAGAGAAAGAAGGATTTGGGAAAAAAGTAAGTGTAGGCTTATTAAGATCAGTTTTGAGTAATGTAAAATAAAAATTAATGTTTGATTAAATACTACAATCAAATCAATAAAAACCTACTTATTATATTTAACTTGTATGTTTAAGTAATGGGTTTAGTAGGTTTAACTTACAATAACATTATAGGGATTCCCAGTAAGTCGTAGGTCCCGTTGGTAGAGGTGGCGTTCCCATCTTTCTTTCAATGTACGTCTGAAATGCTGTATTACAGTGTATGATTAGTATCAAGTTTGCTTGAGAACTGTTTTGATATGCTTTGATTACTAAAAAAACTATTTGAAAGTTCAAATCACATCAACAGCCTTTAATAATCCACTGCTGGACATAGGCCTTAGAAGAGGTTTTGGCATACTATACCACCCTGGCCAAACAGGTTAGTATAGGGTTTGTGTCAAGTTTTTTTGTAGTGCTGGTGTCCTGCATTGTTTTTCCTCCCCTTAGTCGGCTTTTAAGATGATAATAGTAAATAATTTTATTATCCTAAACTGGCTGGGTCAGACAGTCAAGCGCATTTTCCCAACTATAAAAACAAGTCAAACTAAATCCAAGTATGGAAGATTTAATAAGTATTGTAACACAACTGTAACTTTGTTTATTTTAGTTAATATTGTTTTCAAGGTATCGGGTTGGGATTAGTTTTAAAATATGTATAAGGTATAAGATATGTATTGATACTTCAGAAATATTCCAAAGTATAAAATAATAGCCTTGATTTAAGATTAGACAAATTATTAGCTTGGTCTGAACTGTAATTAATTAATAAAACGAAACACTGGAAGAGTAAAGGCTTTTGTCAATTTTATATTCGAGGTATAAGTTGCTTGTCTATTGGTAAAAATGATTATAATCTGTAAAAAGAAAAATGATACAGATCTATGAAACAATTAACTGCCTGCCAGACTGTTATCTAATACATTTTTTTTAAATTGTACTTACATTGCCTAATACTAAATTGTGAATGTGGTAAAGACCCCAGCCTGGTATACCTAGACCAGCAACTATAATGCAGGCGCTAGGCAGAATTTCGTACCACATTTTTACAAAATATCGAGGGAATAATATCAGAAATAATTTTACAATAAGAATGACAGTAACCTGTGTGCTACCAGACTTCAAAACTAAAACTCCTATACTTCAAGCATCAGCTAAAAACTGTACAGACAATATTTTTTCGGGTAAGTTAAATAGCTTTATTATAACTTTCAGCAATGAGTAAATTAAGGTAACATCCAATACATTTTATAAGTTCTAATTACTAACAAAATAGCTTAAAGAAATGACTATTATAACGTCACGTCACTTCATGACATGGTTAAGTTTAGAAAAAAATAATTATAAAAAGGTCCTATTCGTTTTTTTTTGTTAAAAAACCTTATATTCAAAAAAATTACAATATTTCAATTATTTTTAAACAGATTCAGTAAGTTATTGGGTCTTTGGTTCTTATTCTTGCCTTCTACATTTAAGCTTACAAGCAATGAGAGTACGAATATATTAAACTCTTAGAACAATAACGCCTAGAAACCGAGAAGACGTAAGATAAGTGAGGAAAGTAAAACTAAGCCATTTTGGCTCAGTAACCGAACGGCCAGGGTCAGTGCTCAAGGTCAAATTGTAGTCACAGCTCTCGAATTTTCATTCAAAATTTTGTTCAATATATATAATAATAATATATATATATAATATGTCAGTTTGTGCAATAAACGGGTTTCACAGTACATTGGAAAAGCACAAGAAATATTGTAACAATAATATTCCACTTGTAAATATTAAACCATATAAACCACTAAACTCACTAGATTAAAGTGTTAAGTTTGTTAATACCTATATATAATGTGATTTGGTTAATATGTTGACTAAACTGTGAATGCTGTATTAGCTCGTAAGTGGCATGTATATCAGAAACTTAATACCTAGATTTTACCATAAATGTTATATGAAAATATGATATGAGTTATCCAAATAAATAAATAAATGTTCATTCTAATATTTTGATGTAAAACATTCCAAACCAAATATAAAACCACTAAATTTTGGCCCACATCAATAGGGTTTCTGCCTCAAACTCTACGGTTTTTTGGTATGAAGCTATCGTTCTATGCGTTATTATTCTAAGTATTACCTGTTATTGTGCCAAATAAAAGCGAAGAAACTTATGAACAGTTATTGCATTTAAAAAAAAACTATAAGAGCGATTGAGAAATTGCGACTATTCGTTGTTTGCCGAATAGGAAAATTAAAGGCTGTTTTTATCATTATAACAAGGCTTTATAGAAAAAATATCAATTTTGAATTACATTACACGGATTGCGTATTGGTCAGATTGATTGCGTCTTGGACAAATTACGCGTTACGGACATAACACAGGATACTGTTGCGACTGCTTTTTATACCGGCTGCCCAAATATTTCTCTGAAGAATACTGTTCTCATCTCTATGCATGGGCACCTCAGTACCAGCTTCTCCCTCTGGACCGTATCTAAAGAGGAGCGACCGACTCGATTCTTTGGCGCAACGAAGAGATGTAGATTCGCTCTGCATAGTCTATCGTATATATGTCATGTAGTGCTCCGAGAAATTGTTGACTAATAGCAGCCGCAACTTTCTGCCATCGTTCCACACGGCAAAATTTTCATCCCCACCACTTGGATATTTGGCACTCCACCACTGTGCGCTTTTCAACACTTTATGCCCCGCACTACCATTCTGTGCAACAAGTCGTCTGCGGTATTTCCGGACCGATACGACCTTCAAACCTTATTCGTATTACTTCCTCAAAGACCGGCAACGCGCTTGTGACTCCTGAGTTGCAGGCGTTCATAGGCGGCAGTAGTCGCCTTCCATCAGGTGACCGGGCTGCGCATTTTCCCCCTTATTAAAAAAATATGCACGAATTGCGTGTTGTGTAAAAATAATCTTTATTATTATTATAATTTATTATTTCTTTATTTAAGTTTGTGAGTTTGTATGTACGGGATAATCTCTGGTACTACTGATCCGATATTGAAAATTCTTTCACTGTGAAAAAGATACATTATCCCTAAACGCTGTAGATTAATTTTTATCGCCATAACCGATATACTAGCTACTAAGGTGATAAAACAATGGCAAGGCTGAAAAGTTTTATTCCTTACTTGATCATAGTGGAAATCTAGCCATTATCTATAAATAACAGTCTTATCATCTAGTAATTTTAGCAGTGTCATTTTTTGTGCCTTATGGTGCTACTTGGTTATAATGTGAGTTTCTTTAAAATTATGTTTTTATTTGTCAACCATCAACAGTCTTTAACAGTCCACTGCTGGGCATAAGCCTCTCCTTAGAAAGGAGGTTTTGGTCTACTATATACCACGCTGGCCAGACGGGTTGGTATAGGGTTTGTGTCAAGTTTTCTAGTAGTCAGTGTTTCTTATTTTTTATTGTGTAATACCTTTAATATATAGACACGATGGATGGCATGATGCACGATGACAGGATTACGCTTTTATTTAAATATATTTAACACATTGAACGCGATTTCGCAGACAGAATGGAAAATTAATTGTTGCCAGTTAATTATGATATGACCGCCATAGCAGTCAGAATGTTAAATGGATTAACCGTTTATAAATGCCTATGTATAGGAATCTTGTCAGTGATCTGAAAATACAGATACCTGTATAAAATAACTACTGAAATAAATGAGTTGGAATTCAAAGAAGAAATAATATGTACTTACATTTCCTAAAACAAGATGATGCAACCAATAAGTAGCATATCCTGGTCCGGCTAAAGCGGCAACTATAATAGCCATCGGTGGAATAATTTCAATCCACATTATGTACGATTTAGAATGAATGAAGTGTTGGTGACACTTTTGACAAAATCTATGTAATAAAACAAATGCTACTGTTACCTCCTCTTTTGTAGAAATAGTGAATAAACTGACTAACAAAAAAGAAAGAAGTGCTATAGAGACCTTTTTACTTTTTTTCCATTCTTTTCTTAATCATTTGGTGTGAAATAGTTTTAAGTTTTTTTATAGGTAATATGAATGAAAGAATTCAACACTGATTAAAGGCATATTTTAAGAACGTCTATTACTAAGTTACTTGCATTACGTAGACCTGCAGTGTATAATTTTTGAACGTAATATTTTGTTTTCTTTTTAAATCTTGAAATGGCAACATTACTCATCGGGTCATCAAAAATGGCAGACGTTCCGATCGACTGTGACTTCCCTGTCTGGGGATTATTACCAAAAAAAGAAACGGGGGTTGTCTCGTTTCTAAATAAAAATGCCAATTACGATGGCAGGGATACAGTTATTGCTATATTTGATTCCGGTGTCGACCCTGCAGCAGAAGGACTCAAGGTATAAAAGTGTCATGTCACGATTTGTTTAGTTGCAGTATATTGTATCTTAGGTGGATCTTGAGTGTTGTTGAGGTTGCAGGTGACGAGTACTGGAGAGACTAAGGTTATTGAGAGGTTCGACTGCAGTGGTTGCGGGGATGTAGACACGACCACTACAAAAAAACTAGCAGAAGGATGCATTACCGGCCTAACTGGTCGCAAATTAAAGGTACATAAATAGCGAAAACAGAATATAGTTTCAACTTGTGTGAGCTAAGTGATACGTTAGAATGATATGAATATTTTAATATTATCGTATGATACAACATTATTATTTGAAGAACAAGTTTGTAATCAGCAATAAAGTAAGTTTCAAAAAAATCTCTAAAATCTATTAGTATGGTTAAGATATCAATCTTTACCATACTAATCGATTTTAGAATTTTTTTTACTCAATCAACTTTGAATCAGTGATGTTTATTTGCTTGTTGTCATTAAATCATCATTATTTTGAAAAAATATTAACTAAACAGATTGATTAGAAAACCATTTTGCTCTGTGTTTATGCCTGCCAGTTAATCGTATGACAACTACACCAATATGCTAAGGGGTGTTCACATACACAACTTCACATCTCTAATCCTTAAAAACCTTTTTGAGTGATGATCAAAGTTATCTCCATGTATTGGCAACTATTTAGTGCAATCTCTAATTTTGTAATTTTTACCAGAAAGTTGCATTTATGAGCATTTGGTCATTTAATTAGACAATCATTTTCAGTTATTAACATCTTCCCCAATTTTCTGGACACTTTTTGCCTAGGGTTTGCCTGGAAACTTTATTTGCGCTATTAATAACACCTTAAAGAGAGAATTATGGACATTCATTGTTGCCGTTGCTAATTCTTAAAAAAGATATTAACTTCTTATTTTTTATAGTCACTAAAGACTGGTAATTAAAATATACTTACAGTTTTAAAAACAATTTGATGTTTTAGTTAATCTGAGAGTTCCTACTATATGGTATAGTGGCAAACTCTCAGATTGTCCACATGTGCAGCCAACGCTCGCTCACGTTTACTCAAAGGATTAGATACCGTAGCCATCGGGTATACCAAGCGTGCAAGCGAGACGTGATCATCTAACAAATAGCAGTAGTCACCATAGTCGAAATCCGCTAGGAAGAGAGAAGATAGTGGAAAACTTTTAGATTTACTAACACATGTTTTTAAAACTAAATAAAAGAAACAATTGTTATTATTATATTTTTTCTTATTAGATACCAGAAACATGGAAAAATCCCACAGGAGTATGGCGTGTGGGTGTGTTGCATCCATTTAGCTTATATCCAACTAAACTAAAGGAGCGTGTGCAGGAGCACCGTAAAGAACATATATGGGATGTAGGTTATAAACCTGCCTTTGCTGAGGCCAACAAACAGCTACAAGACTTTGAGACTGATGTTGGTTAGTATGATACTGGTTTCATGTGTTGCAGTTCACTCATCTAGTATAATATAATAATAGCCTTTTATTCCTAAACATAGGGTTACAAGAGGTCCCTAAGTTCGGTGTGCCTTTTAGCAGAGGCCTCCTCCAATTCCTTCCAATGGGTCCTGTCCCTTGCTACTCTCAATCAGAGTGGTCCGTTTCAAGTCATCTTCCCATCTCCTGACTTGACAACCCCTACCTCTTTTGCTGTCTCTTGGTTGCCAGAGGGTGACTTGCTTGCCGAGTGGGCAGGGCGGCAGCACGGGACCCTTACCTTCCGGCTGGCGCAGGTGCTTTCCGGGCACAGTTGCTTCGGAAAGTACCTGCACTCGGTCGCTAGGAGGGAACTGAGTCCCGCCTGCCACCACTGCGACTGCAGTGAGGACTGGGCCCAGCACACGCTGGCGGTCTGCCACGCATGGGCGACGCAGCGCCGGACCCTCACTGCAGTCATCGGAGTGGATCTCTCGCTACCGGCCGTAGTACGCTCCATGGCCGGTAGCGACAGTTGTTTTACCGCGGTCGCAACCTTCTGCGAGGAAGTAATCTCGCAGAAGGAGGCGGCGGAGAAGGCCCGGGAGGACGACCTCCACTCGGACCCGACCCGCCGCCGGCGAACCGGGCGGCGGAGGCGCGCCTATCACCGCCTCATGCCGCCCTGAGAGTGGCCGCGGGTGGACGGGGTGGGTTTCCCCTCCACCCGCATTAGTTTGGCCAGCCGCGAGGGGGCGGCGTCCGCGAATGCCGGACGTCGCCTAAAGAGAGGAAAATTTTGAGACGGAGCCCGCACCAGGAGCGGGCTGGCGCTAGGAGGGGTCCGGATGTCTTAATAACAGCTGTTCCCGGATCCCTCTCTCCGGCGCAGAGTGGCACACCGTGTGGTTTTAGTCGGTCCGAGTCCGACACACCACCCCGCCGCAAACCCCGGAGGGGTGACGGTCCGAGGGGATTTCCACACGTTAAAAACAAAAAAAAAAAGGGTGACTTGCTTGCAAAAGAATAATTATTATCATATTAAATAAAGAAAATTGTACCCCCTTTTAAACATTTTCTATATACCAATTATAATATGGTACACAGAACCATATTATAATTGGAATATGTAATTTTTAAATGTAGAAGATACGCAGAAAGCTAAAAATTTTAAATGATATGGGCTATAAAGTTAAAAATCATGTAAAGATAACAAAAAACTATGTGTCCAGTATTTAGTTTAATATGTCACAGTACAAAAGTCAATAAAATAATACAAGACATTCAAAACAGTTGAAATTTGATCTCTAGAATAATTTCTTTTTCTTTCATCATCTATTGTAATTAAGAGGTCCTTCGTTTCTGGTAAGAAGCAAGGTGAAGCATAAATTTTGTTTCGTTTACTTAGATGTAATTATAAAAATCATTAATTGTGTTTTTTAATTTCTAGTATCTAAGAACGCCACATTAAGTCCAGAAGAAAAACTTCAAAAAGAGGAATTAGAAGCTAGAGTTGAAGTGTTACAAAACGCAGAGAAAAAATACAATGATGTGGGACCTACATATGATTGTGTTCTGTTCCATGATGGCTCTGTTTGGAGGTGAGACATCAATCTTTATATTGACATCAATCTTTAGCCTATTCTATAATTTTAGTTCCACTAAGGGAATTGGGGGAGAAGTAGTATACAGGATGTGGCGTAAATAGTGGTCCACCATTAAGGATTCGATAAACCAGATAATTTACTATAACATATTACAATTTTATCCATTTTTACCCAAAGGTTCCGGAAATATAATGTTTTTTTAATTTTTTTATGATATGTGTACCTCTTGTTACAAATTTGGTTGTAGTTTTCACAAATACCATTATTTTTTCATTTTGATTACTCGTAATTACTGCTGAATACTAGAGCTATCGTTAAATAACATGTTTTTAATGTAAATTTAAAGCTTTTGAAGAAAAAAATTGCTTTTACTCTACTTTTAACCCAAATTTTTAACATATTAAATACCCTGTAAATATAAATAACACCCTGTATATAGGATATTCCATATTCCAATGCAAATGTGTGGCAATAAGTTATGCTGTCACAACGGCCATGTCAAGGGGCATTAAGGACTATAACATCCAAATACTGTCAGACAGCATGGCCATCCTAAAGGCACTAGAGGGCATCACTATGACCCCTGGTATATACCCTTGGTATATACCCCTGATATTATCTTCGAATGCCATCAAGCATTGGAGCAGCTTGCCACAGTAAATGGGGTACTACTCCAATGCTTATTAATTCACACGGAAACGACGCCACAGATGAGTTGGCAAGAAGGTTTTTAACCAACTTCGATCCTAGGTTAAATAGCGTACTCTTGAAGCGCACAACCGAAGGTGGAAAAACTCACCCGGCTACAGACAGTCCAAACTGGTGCTGACTGAAGTCTCACCACAACTTACTTGCATACTGATCATTGTGTTACAATAGTTGTAAGGACCATACCGCCTAGCCCTGAACCGACAGCTATTCCCGACCGATAACTTCGTTAGCTCACCTAGCCAACCAACCAACTAATATCTTGAGTCTAAATGCAGAAACCGGAGCCCACAACCAATACCAATATAGATCATTTAAATTACCCATTACACAGAGGATGGGAATCAAACCCACAACTGACTGTCAGTAAGAATAGTCAACCACTAGACCAACAACTATTTTTTTTGGACAAAAGATGATTTGAGTAGACAGAATTGAAAATGCTGTTTAGGAGATTACCTGGAAAAAACAGACCTCCAAATTTTTTTTAAACTGGTTTTTAGGCATAGGCTTTGTGCAAATAACCATGTGAGCATAAAAAAAACCTATTATTTTGACATTACAAACAGACACTCATTTTATTTATTTGTATAGACATTTAACATTAACCTGCAGTAGTTAAAATTTAATACTTAGAACATGATGAAAAAACAAAAACCTATAGATAGGTTATGGAGAAAAATATCTTAATAAAAAGCAGTGTCAAATTTCACACTTTTGGACAGTTGTTTTTAAATTCTTATAAAATGGCTTTGCATGATTTCATTTATGTTGTTGAAACCAGTAAAAGATAGCAAATACTCCTCTTTGTTACATAGAGCATGTATCGACACGTCGGAGAGTGGGGATCTGTCATCAGGTCCGCTGTTGGGCGAGTTCAGCGTCACGCAGGAGCATGCGCACCTCACTGAGCTGGACCAGATGACCGTCAGCATCAACGTGCATGGCGACGGGGACACGCTCGAGGTCGTGGGCATGTGCTGTGAGTACTCATATCCTGGCTAAATATTCATGGCTGTACACTGTTTTTTTTTTATTATACCACTGTGCCTGATATGACTGCACGGATGACGTAGTGGTTTAAGTCGCCACGCCGCTTCCTACTACGCCGAGTGTTGTGGGTTCAAACCCCACAACAACACTTTGTGTGATCCACAAATTGTTGTTCTGAGTCTGGGTGTTCTTTGTGTCCGTTTCATGTATGTTTGTAAAGTCCCCGCTACACAGGAATATGTTTTCCTAATGCGGGCGTTGTCTTTTTAAAGTAAATAAAAAAAATAAAGATAGGCATGTTAAAGGGTGAATGGCATTATATCTCTGAATGAGGATTTGGCGAACTGTTCAACAGCCAAAATACTTCCTTCTGCTTGGACGGATTGCCAAAGAGGGTTAGTGTTAGCAACGTTATCATTACCGTTCATTACTACTATGGCTTATTGTCCACAGCTACCCACGGAACTCACGTAGCTGCCATCGCAGCCGGCTACTTCCCCGGCGAACCAGAACGTGATGGCGTAGCTCCCGGAGCCAAGATCGTTTCCCTTACGATTGGAGATAGCCGGTTAGGATCTATGGAAACTGGCACTGCACTCGTCAGGGCTTGTATCAAGATTATGGAGCTTTCCAAGAAGATGAAGATCGATGTTATTAATATGAGCTATGGAGAACATGCTCATTGGTCTAATGCAGGGTATGTATTGACATGGCAGTGGGCCATCAGATCTAGTTTCGTTTTATTTCAGGTTGAAGCTATAGGTTCCACAGTGCAGGATCTAGGATTTTTTCGAACCGGTGCAGAAACTTGATAGTGGAATCTCTCCAGTGTTTGAGATAAATTACTTAAAAAATCTCACAAATATATAAGTTAACTTGTAGTGTGGACGGTGAGGTAGGCAGGAGGTTTGCAAATTTTTATTTTTAATCACACTATATCACGATTTTGGTGTCCTCTAAAACTGCCGGGGCCGGTGCCCCGGTTCACCTAATAGATAATAGGGCCTCATAGAAAAACGGTGTTAAGCAATCTAGAAGCCTAAACCTACCTTCCCCCCCCCCGGTTCTGGCTGGAAGGGGACTCAAAGGGCGGCATCAAACTTGTCACCCTTCATTTGCAGATGGCAATGGGCAGTCATAGCCACCTACCATTAGGTGACACGTCTGTTCGCTTGCCTTCCTATAACATTAGATCAGTATGTGCATTGCTTCCATATTAAACTTTTGTACTATCTGTCGATCTGAGTGCGTACTGAAGGTGTGTAATAATGTATATAATGTTGGCAGGCGCATCGGAGACATAATATGTGAAGTGGTGAACCGCTACAAGGTGTCGTGGGTGGTGTCGGCCGGCAACCACGGGCCCGCGCTCTGCACCGTGGGCGCGCCGCCCGACATCGCGCAGCCCGTGCTCATTGGTGAGGATACTTACTTGTCACCGCTAGCCTACTCCTTCCTTCCAGGTCGGCACGCTCTATGGCCAGGCTCGCATGCTTAGCGGGTGGAGATCCAGGGCACTCTTCCATTTGGAGATGCGTTACTCTGTACAGTGGGCTGTTACAAACTTGCGGTTTGGCTTTTTTTTTCTCAATCCCTTTTTTTTTGAACTTAAAGAAAAAATATATTTACTTTTTAATTCGGCTAGTTACTAAAGCGAGTCTTTAAACTATTGTTTATTCATTCTGATGTTATCTGAATCTGTATCTGAGTTGTTAAACTGGTATTTAATGTCTGCTTATCTATACAAATAAATAAAATTGAAGTATTTGTTTGTAATGTCAAAATAATAGGTTATTTCATGCTCACACGGGTACTTGCACGATATCTGTGGCTAAAAACCTGTTTAAATATTTATTGTCTGTCCGTTCTGGGTAATTTTTAAACGGCTTTACCGATTGTGATAATAATTTACTAACAGGTAGCTGTTTATCGAATGAGTAACCCGAGGTCTCTTGGACTGCAGTCCCGTCCCGTACTATAGCATTAAGACAGCTCTTTTCAAATTCCACGCGAAGGAAGTCGCGAGTACCAGCTAATGAAATACATATTAATTCGATTCATTTTCGCAGTTTGTTCTTACTGTGTAGGTGACAGCCATGATTATCACCATTAAAAAGTAGTTTATAAAAAAAAGCAATCTGTTATTATTTTGATGTAAAATATACGTAGTGACCGGAGATTTTGATGGACACAATTTAAATAGCGTGCGTTTTCTCGGCTGCCTGTTACATATCTTCATCTTTTGATACGAAATCACTTTCACAGATGGAGGAGGCGTCGCACATGAAAAAACTTATATTTCCCTATGGAAGTGTACATTTTGTTTAACATCCTCAATTTTAATATCGCGGTAGGCAGTGGTATTTTACTGAATATTAATGTATGAATTAATTTTGCAGTTCAATTTGAGGTTCGAAAATAAGTTGTATATGTATGTGCTCACACTCCCTTTTATTATTTATACGGGAATAGTATTACAATCTATACTAATATTATAAAGCTGAAGAGTTTGTTTGTTTGTTTGTTTGTTTGAACGCGCTAATCTCAGGAACTACTGGTCCGATTTGAAAAATTCTTTCAGTGTTAGATAGCCCATTTATCGAGGAAGGCTATAGGCTATATATCATCACGCTAAGACCAATAGGAGCGGAGCACCAATGAAGAATGTTTCAAAAACGGAGAAAATTCATTACTATTGAGAGACGCAGACGAAGTTGCGCGGGTCAGCTAGTAGGAAATATGGAGAAATCATTGGGTTTTTTGTTTGTAATAATTACCTTTATAAAAACAGTCATCGACTTCAATGACGACTTTAATAAACCGTATTCTTAATTACTTAACAATTGAAAATGTACGTGGCGGTGCAGGCGTGGGCGCGTACGTGTCGCCGGAGATGATGTCTGCGGCGTACTCCATGCGCGCGCGCGTGTGCGGCGGCGCCTTCAGCTGGAGCTCGCGCGGGCCCGCCGCCGACGGCGCCGCCGGCGTCTCCGTCTGCGCGCCGGGCGGGGCCGTCGCCGCAGTCGCCAGGTACTGCTCGCTCTCCCACTCACTGTCACCGGTCACCTCCAGCTGGAGCTCGCGCGGGCCCGCCGCCGACGGCGCCGCCGGCGTCTCCGTCTGCGCGCCGGGCGGGGCCGTCGCCGCAGTCGCCAGGTACTGCTCGCTCTCCCACTCACTGTCACCGGTCACCTCCAGCTGGAGCTCGCGCGGGCCCGCCGCCGACGGCGCCGCCGGCGTCTCCGTCTGCGCGCCGGGCGGGGCCGTCGCCGCAGTCGCCAGGTACTGCTCGCTCTCCCACTCACTGTCACCGGTCACCTCCAGCTGGAGCTCGCGCGGGCCCGCCGCCGACGGCGCCGCCGGCGTCTCCGTCTGCGCGCCGGGCGGGGCCGTCGCCGCAGTCGCCAGGTACTGCTCGCTCTCCCACTCACTGTCACCGGTCACCTCCAGCTGGAGCTCGCGCGGGCCCGCCGCCGACGGCGCCGCCGGCGTCTCCGTCTGCGCGCCGGGCGGGGCCGTCGCCGCAGTCGCCAGGTACTGCTCGCTCTCCCACTCACTGTCACCGGTCACCTCCAGCTGGAGCTCGCGCGGGCCCGCCGCCGACGGCGCCGCCGGCGTCTCCGTCTGCGCGCCGGGCGGGGCCGTCGCCGCAGTCGCCAGGTACTGCTCGCTCTCCCACTCACTGTCACCGGTCACCTCCAGCTGGAGCTCGCGCGGGCCCGCCGCCGACGGCGCCGCCGGCGTCTCCGTCTGCGCGCCGGGCGGGGCCGTCGCCGCAGTCGCCAGGTACTGCTCGCTCTCCCACTCACTGTCACCGGTCACCTCCAGCTGGAGCTCGCGCGGGCCCGCCGCCGACGGCGCCGCCGGCGTCTCCGTCTGCGCGCCGGGCGGGGCCGTCGCCGCAGTCGCCAGGTACTGCTCGCTCTCCCACTCACTGTCACCGGTCACCTCCAGCTGGAGCTCGCGCGGGCCCGCCGCCGACGGCGCCGCCGGCGTCTCCGTCTGCGCGCCGGGCGGGGCCGTCGCCGCAGTCGCCAGGTACTGCTCGCTCTCCCACTCACTGTCACCGGTCACCTCCAGCTGGAGCTCGCGCGGGCCCGCCGCCGACGGCGCCGCCGGCGTCTCCGTCTGCGCGCCGGGCGGGGCCGTCGCCGCAGTCGCCAGGTACTGCTCGCTCTCCCACTCACTGTCACCGGTCACCTCCAGCTGGAGCTCGCGCGGGCCCGCCGCCGACGGCGCCGCCGGCGTCTCCGTCTGCGCGCCGGGCGGGGCCGTCGCCGCAGTCGCCAGGTACTGCTCGCTCTCCCACTCACTGTCACCGGTCACCTCCAGCTGGAGCTCGCGCGGGCCCGCCGCCGACGGCGCCGCCGGCGTCTCCGTCTGCGCGCCGGGCGGGGCCGTCGCCGCAGTCGCCAGGTACTGCTCGCTCTCCCACTCACTGTCACCGGTCACCTCCAGCTGGAGCTCGCGCGGGCCCGCCGCCGACGGCGCCGCCGGCGTCTCCGTCTGCGCGCCGGGCGGGGCCGTCGCCGCAGTCGCCAGGTACTGCTCGCTCTCCCACTCACTGTCACCGGTCACCTCCAGCTGGAGCTCGCGCGGGCCCGCCGCCGACGGCGCCGCCGGCGTCTCCCTCTGCGCGCCGGGCGGGGCCGTCGCCGCAGTCGCCAGGTACTGCTCGCTCTCCCACTCACTGTCACCGGTCACCTCCGGCTGGAGCTCGCGCGGGCCGCCAGGTAGGCCGCCTCGACCGGACTGACACCGTGGTCCACAGCTCAACCGGTGTTAAACATTTACTGGAGCCCGTTTAAACAAACGAGCTACGTAAGATTACATAGAGAGAAGACAAGAGTCTTCACTATAATATAAATATAATTTTTAATTTGCAGGTTTACACTAAGAAACAGTCAACTTATGAACGGAACTTCGATGGCCGCCCCTCACGTCGCAGGCGCAGTGGGTAAGTAGATATTTGTAGATATTTAAATCTAAACTCAAAAGTATTTCTTTACAGTTAAATCGATTGAATATACTTATTATTATATAATGGTTCTCATTGTGAGAGACTGGTGCCTGATGTAGGTATTACGTACGTATTACCTACATCAGGCACTTGTATTATGGGTAACCAGGGCCCTTATTGTCAGAACCTGTACTATGGTAACCAGACATACTTATATATATATCTACATGCATATTATAGATAAATTACCCTCAGACACAGACCAAATGATCATGCCCATCACACAAATATTTGTCCTGGGTAGGAATCGAACCCATGACCTCCGGCATAGCAGCATGGATCACTAACCACTAGACCAACAGGCCCGTCTCGTATCTTTAGGATGCAAATTTGCAGACACTAAATGTAATAAAAAGATCTTATATTGACTAACATGTGTGAGTGCCTTGTGCCTATATATATTTAAGTGCCCTATCACTTTGCTTCAGCTGCCCTTATATCCGGTCTAAAGGCGAGGCATCTCCCGTACTCGCCATACTCAGTGAAGCGTGCTCTTGAAAACTCCGCCACATACTTGACACACGTGGAACCCTGGGCTCAAGGTTGTGGTCTACTTAATATTGAGAAGGTAAGCAGTATTTGAAATCTATAATAATATTATAAATGTGAAAGTGTGTCTGTCTGTCTTTCTGTTACCTTTTAACGCTTAAACCGCTGGATCGATATGGATGAAATTTGGTATAGAGATAGTTTGATTCTTGAAGAACGACATATGCTACTATTTACCGCGATAAAAGCTAGTGTTATAATGAAATGTCCCAATATTGTGTATCGAGAGACCCAGATCAGAGATTACCTCATTGTTTTTAATATAACCATGGGCAACGGTTTTTGTGAAGGCAGAAAGTAAAAAAATAATAAAAATGATGTACCTTTATGATAGCTCTTTTGCCATTCAACTTATTTTAAACTGCAAATTTTTTTACAGTATTAAATTTTACAATTACAATTTCAATTTTTCGTAATCATAAAAACTTATATTACCCTGATATTATAATAAATTGAAATAAATTCGATTTTTATTAGATGTGTGTAGATTAAATCTCAAACAAATAAATCTGAAGATATCGAGTTAGTACATCGTGTCATGTATAGCCGAGCGCATCAACCGCCCCGCGTCCCGCAAACCATTAGGAGGGCCAAGCTTACGGCGGTTTAAATATAGTTGTAGTAAGAACCCTACCAGCCTTAATTCTAAAGCCAACTTTCTTGTATTTATCAGGCATTCGACCTTCTCTCCACGTACTACGACCAGCCCGAGCGTGACGTGTTCTTCAATATACAGTGCGGATCAAACAACGCCAAGGGCATTCTCCTTCGGCCGAAGCTGGGCGATGTGCCCAAGGATGTCAGCATCACCATCGAGCCACACTTCTTGAAAGACCACTGCGACATGGAAAGTGAGTGCCACATTGTTGTTTATACACTGTGTGACGTAAAGGTGAGGTCATACTGAACAGTATAATAGAACACCAGAATATCGTAAAGTGCTAAGGATAGTAGAGAAATTTCTGGTTTTTAAATATATAATCTTTGATATTGATTCTAAACTGACTGCCAAAGTTAATTAATTTTATCTTACTTACCAATGTCAGATAAAGAGGTAAGATTTTTCTGAACATAAAAAAAAATACAAAATTGTTTATATAAACGTGATAATTCATATAGTTGTTTATAAATGTGTATCTACTAGAACAAAGCAATGTCCAAAAACATCTAAATTTCAATTTTTCATTCACAAGTTAAATATTTTTCGGTTTTACTTAAGGTTTCCAAAATTAGACCACGCTTTTCTTTAATAATCTAGAATAGCTTAGGAGCGTTTTTGAAATTAAAGACAATATAGGTTAACCTTTAAAATATTAAAGATCCCTTGACACTTGTTTTCACTCCGTAGGGCCGAAAATACGTATGCTCAAGAATATAATAAAAAAAGAAGTTTGTAGTCTTTGCTCCGATAGTGGTACGTCATGATTCTTTAAGTAGACTTAATTAATAGTATTTAGGGCGTACCAAAGTAAAAAAGTGTATTTAGTTTAAATATGTATTGAAAGAATAGTAATGTAGTCTATTCGCGTTAAGAAAATAGTGATGTATCAGGGTGGAGTGATTATAATAATAGTTATAATGTTTTCATCATCATTAGACTTTACTAGTTCACTGCTGGACATAGGTCTCTCCTTAGAAAGGAGGTTTTGGCCTATTACTACTAATATTTTAGGTATAATCAGTTTTATGTTTGTGGAGGAAGTAATATCCTAGTGTAATTAATTGTAGAATTTGTTTATAATAGAGGGTAAAAATAATAGATCATAGAACGAGCAGTTAAATAAGAAATGTATTTTAGTGTAAAACGCACCAATTCACGAGTTAAAGAACTTCTAGTATCTGTTACACAATTCCGTTCCTTTTCACGGAATGTCTTCCATAATGCAGGAAAGAGTTTCAATAAAAAAAAATCGGCAGAAAAGCAAATGATTTCGATTTGAATGTACCATAATCTATGTAGAACGTAGTCGGACACTCTGTGTGGTATATAAGTGGGCGTGGTGTTGGAGTGAGCTAAGGTAGTGTCGCTGACGCAGACGCGCGCGTGATCCCGCGGCAGATCGCGTTCGGCGTGCGGCTGGCGCTGGCCGTGCGCGCCGAGTGGGTGTCGGTGGCGCAGCACCTGGACATGATGAACGCCGCGCGCCCGCTCAACGTGCGCCTGCGCACCGACGCGCTGCCGCCCGGCCCGCACTTCGCCAGGTAGCGAACCGACACAATTTATTGGTGGTCACATAAACACATATTAGTTCAATAAATCTTATGTTGCATGTGCTGATTGCTATACAGATCTCTTCTTGATATCTAAGGGCAAATAAAATCTGGAGTTTTTTTTGTATTCTACCCACATTTACACAACGCCATCTAGCCCCAAACTAAGCAGAGCTTGTACTATGGCTACTAGACATCTGATATAAATACATATATACTTTTTTTTAAAGACATACGAATTTTACATAGAAACACCCAGACCAAATCAAACATTAAATGTTCATACACACAAATGTTTGACTTGAACGAGAATCTAACCCGTTTTTTTTACTTTTTTACCCAAACCACTACACCATTCGGTCGTTTCATCGTCAATAGAAATATATTATCTATAAATACACAGAATCATTATGAATCCCCCCCCCCTTTTTTTTTCCCGTGCGTAAATCCCCTCGGATACCACCTAATAGCCGGGGAACCAAGTATACCCTAGAAAGGAAGTCCCTGGTGCCCCGACATAACTCGGGCCATCTACAACAAGTAGACGAACCCCCCCGTGTGGGAACCCCATGTTCCCTCTACTCCCTGGAAGCGAGCACGCTTCTTAACGCGCTCGCTCACCCCCAGGCCTACGCTTATGGAGGACGCCTGAGTCGCCTGCGGTACCTGGCCCGTTCCCGGGCTTGGCGGGCCGGAAGAGTTCTAAACCTCTCCCGGTCCAGATCCACCGTCTCCTTCGCGAGCATAACTTGCTCGCAGAAGGAGACGGCAGAGTTCCACGCACTCTCGCTCCGTACGATAGCCGCAATCAGGCTATCGAGCGAGAGAACTCCCACTCCGATGGCCGCCACGAGGTCTCGCCTCTGCTCAACCCACGCCGGGAACTCTGCCAGCGTGTGGAGAGCCGTGTCCACGGTCTGGCCATCGCAGTGGTGGCACTCAGGCGTTGGCTCCTTGCGGATCAGACACAGGTGATCCCCGAAACATCCTCTCCCAGTGATCACCTGCGTCAGTCGGTATGAGAGGGTCCCGTGACGCCTCTCGAGCCAATCCTCCATAACGGGTCTTACCGCCGCGATGACGGCGTGCCCGGCGCTCGGTTGCCCGAGTCGTTCCCTCCACTCTCCTATGATGACCTGGCGGAGTTGGGATTTCCGGTCATCGATTTCTCGCATCTCGGGACACCGACCCAACTCCCGCGCCTCTTGCGCCACTGATACAGAGCCGCAAGGGCTCTCGCCTCCAGATCCCACGGTGGAGTTCCGGCCAGGATCATTATGAACCCCTGGTCTCTAACTTAAAACCATTTTAAAATTCTTGATTATAAAATCTTATACTAAAGAAATAGTTTTATTTAGTTTATAAAATTACAATCCAATGTTTGATTAAAAACCAATATTTAATTTCCAGTATATTGGCGTACGACGTATCGTGCATAGAAAAAGGGCCGGTGTTCCGGATACCCATCACTGTTCTACAGCCACAACCGTTGCTGACCGGCGTGCCTTCCATCGTTAATAAAAAAGTCAACTTCAAACCTGCCACCATTGTCAGACATTTTGTAGTTGGTAAGTTTTATTGATTTATCTGTCTTACCCACTGGTTATAAGGCGTTTAACTTATGTGATTTACCCCTTTTTGTTTTTTTTTTTCCGTGCGGATATCCCCTCGGATACCACCTATCGATGGCATATCGGACTCGAACCGACTAAAACCGCACGCCGTCTCGGGTACTAATAGCCGGGGAACCAGGTATACCCTAGAAAGGAAGTCCCTGGTGCCCCGACATACCTCGGGCCATCTACAGACGAGTAGACGACTCCCCCCGTGTGGGTACCCCATGTTCCCTATGTGATTTACCCCTCAAAAACAGAGTATTCGGAACTGATTTATAAAACTAATACTTATCATCTATTTAATAATAATAATAAAATAAATACTATCTCAGACATCTTAAATACATCTGTCTAATCCCAAACTAGTTAGAACCTGTGCCATGGTACCCAATCTACTGATAAACATACTTGTATATTTCTAAAACACATGTTAAATATAAATTACACCCTGACACCGAACAAATGATCATGCTCATTATTAACAGCCTTTAATAATCCACTGCGGCTAGGTCTTTCCTTAGACAGGAGGTTCTATGTTTCATCATCACACATCAACAGCCTTTAACAGTCCACTGCTGGACATAAGCCTCTCCTTAGAAGAAGGTTTTGATCTACTATACCACGCTGGTCAGACGGGTTGGATAGGGTTTGTGTCAAGTTTTCCTTCTCTTTACAGTGCTGTTGTCCTCCGTAGTTTGCTCCTTTACTCGGCTTTTACGACACCCATGGGATGAATAGGGGTAGTGACACTCTGTATTTCTAATCCGTTACCCACACAGATATCTTTACTGATCACATAGTTCAGAATCAATAACCACTTGATCAAAGGGCTCGTGTTCTGGTGGTAATACGGCCTATTGAGACGTTAATTTAATAAATTATTTAAACTATTTTATCTTATTAAGTATATTCATCAGTTATTTGTATGAGTCTGAATTGGACGGTCACAGTTCCTCCCGAAGCCACGTGGGGCGTGTTGAGAATGTCCACGGAGGATAAGGAGAAGACGGGCAGGTTTCTCGTGCACACGATGCAGCTGATGCCCAATAAGAGTTGTCGCTGTCACGAGACGCAGAAGATGCTCAACGTGGGGGTCGAAGCGCCCACCGTTTTACCTTTCCAAGTTGTGGTATGTATCTCTTATCTCGTCTTTTAAATACACTGTCACTAATTTTTTTACCGCCGTGACCTAAGCGTTCTGATCGAAATTTAAAAAAATGAACAGTAATTAAGGACGGTAACGTTCAGAGCCCAGATCGTACTCAACGAAAACTTCAGTATGCGTAACGATAATGCAGAACTCGTTTATAGGGAGGCGTAACGCTAGAGATAGCGATAGCCAAGTACTGGGCGAACATCGGGGAGCTGGAGCTGGACTACGGGGTGGAGTTCCACGGGCTCGCGCCGGACTGCGGGTCGCGGCTGGTGCTGGGCGCGGGCGAGGGTCCCCGCGGCGTGGTGCTGCGCGCGCTGCGGCTGCAGGACGTGCAGCCCGCGGCACAGCTCAAGTACAGCGAGGCCGTGACCCGCCCCACCGACTCGCGCCTGGCGCCGCTCTCGCCGCGCGACCGCCTGCCGCCCGCCAGGCAGATCTACCAGCTGCTCAACACCTACGTCTTCCACGTCGCTAAAGCGACCGAGGTCAGCCACACCTCACTCACATCACATCGACAGCCTTTACTAAACCACTGCTGAACAAAGGCCTCTCCTTAGAAGGGAGATTTTGGCATATTGTACCACGCTGTCAGACGGATTGGTATAAGGTTTGTTTCAAGTTCTCCTTCGTCGACTCTTACGACACCCACGGGATGAATAGGAGTGATGACACTCTGTATTCTTAATCCGTCACCACACGGACACTCACTACACTACATTTATCAATATATATATTTATTTATCTAAGATCTACAGAAAGTAAAGTTTAAAGTAAGTAAAAAGATATCACAGATACGAATCCTCACTTACTCTATTGTTATGCAACGTTACATGAACATATAATAAAATTCATATATCCAAATCAAATTTCATATTATCAATATTTAACTTTTGCAATGTTATTATTGTTTGAATTGACTTAATGAATTTAACAGTAATTTTAATTTAATTTATTTACTTCTAATGTGTGTAATAATAATTTCTGATTCCAAATGTTATATTTGACTCTTAATGTAAACTTTGATCTTCTGTAATTAAGAACCAAATCAATAATTTATTATGCTATGTGATATTCTTGTTAAAGATCCTTAAATAAATAAAAAAGAACACCCAACCCGTTTTGTTATATTACAGGTATCGCCGATAATCTCACTGCTGTGTGACATGTTATACGAGTCGGAGTTCGAATCCCAGATGTGGATGTTGTACAACAGTTGTAAACAACTCATGGCCGTCGGGGATGCTTACCCTTCTAAGGTAATACTTTTGTTCTCGTTAGTAATACGATATATTAAATTACTATGTTAAACGATGCAAGTTCGATTTCAGAACAATGAAAATGTGACAGTGGAAAAATATGTCTATTTACATTATGCCAAGTGTTTATGTATGTTTAAATCTATAATAGTTTAAATTATGTTAAGTATAATATATAATAATAATATTCTACCACATTCACACAACGCCATCTAGTCCCAATCTAAGCAGAGCTTGTACTATGGGCACTAGACAACTGATATAAATACATAAATAATTCAAGCATTAAATGTTCTTTCACACAAATGTTTGATTTAATCGGGCATCGAACCCGCAACTTTTGGAATAGCAATCCGTTACACAAACCACTACGCCATGCTGTCGTCATAAATGACATGTTTAACAGGTACAAGCTTTTAAAGGTGTACACCTAATAAAAATGTTCTATGTAGATTTTTAAATTCAATAGTACTTTGTGTATTCTATAAAAAAAATATAGTTAAAAAAACTAAAAAACACGCCTTCTATAGAAAAACAAACTAAAAAATAGAAAATAAATTTGAAAAACAGCGTGGGGTGCTTTTTACTATTGACAACAGGCATCCAAATTTTTTTAAATTATTTTTCAATTTTTTTTTAAATTAGTGTATTGTCATCGGTCCTCGATATATCTACAAAGTTTGAACGAATTCTAACCCTTTAAAGTCAGTCAAAATCACGCCCAAAGGAGTCGGTTACAAACCGTCTTTATTTCTTATTTACCTACAGTAATTTGTTTTTGTTACAGTATTCAGTAAAACTAGAAAAAGGTGATTACACACTACGTCTAAACATCAGACACGAAAACAAGGGTCTTCTAGAAAAATTACAAGATTTACCTGCCATCATACAACAGAGACTGCAGCAGCCCATTACTGTAGACGTATATTGTTCGCAGTCACAGGTACGACACACGGAGCTTTTGTTAAGTCAACTTGTTTATGTGGGTATTTCGGGGATTTCTGACTGGCTTTGGGGAACGGGGACCCTTTATAGAGAGGTGTAGTGAGCTTCACCCTAGCAGAAGCAGGCCGGGGTGGCGGCGAGCGCGTTGCGAAGCGCTTGCTTCCAGGGAGCACAGGGAACATGGGGTTCCCACACGGGGGGGGTCGTCTACCTGTTGTTGTAGATGGGTCGAGGTATGTCAGGGGACCAGGGACTTCCTTTCTAGGGTATACCTGGTTCCCCGGCTATTAGTACCCGAGACGGCGTGCGGTTTTAGTCGGTTCGAGTCCGACATGAGACCGACAGGTGGTATAGGAGGGGAGGGGAGCGGAAAAAAAAAATGGTGTAGTGACCTGCCATGTCAGAGGCCCTCCTTGGTACCGAGTTGTTTTCGAATTTAAACTGGATTTCCTATCAAAGGGTGAACTATGCTGGTTGTCGGTATTAAAAAACAAACTATTTTTGCCATTAAAAAAATAATTGTTTTAAAATCGTCTCTTATGTAGACTTTAAAAGTCATAGATCAACACATAATAGCAACAATCTTTGATTTGTCAAATATTTAACAAAATAAATATATACGTATTGAGAATCTATTATATGCCTGTGTCGATCCACAACCGCCCGATTCCAAGAAAGGGCAACACAACTCATTAGAGCTGAGTATCAACTAGTCGAGCATTTCGAGATTCGAAAGGGGTCTTTTATCAAGGTGCGGAGAGTGTCAGAGTTCAAACTAGTCGAGTATCCTTGAAGTACACATGTGAGTGAAAGCTTATATGAGCACACACACAGTCCACAGTGGAACCTTATATTTGGAATAACAATGTATATCACTCATAATGGTTCCTATTTTAATAAATTTTATATTTATTGAGATGTAAATAATTATTGGAATTTACGACACTTGATTTTAGATCAAATTGCAATGTGTTAAAGTTTAAAATAATAATATGTTGTTAGGCATTGACTGGAGGGAAGAAGTTCAGCTCTGCGGCATTGGCCAGCGGCACGTTACTGCCTCTGTACTTCACATCTGTACCTGCCGAGAAGTGAGTTATATTTCCTTTGTAGAGTAGATCAAAGAGAAGGAGGGATAAGTCAGCCTATTTGGTTGCTTTTTAATTTGTTGCCGTGTAAATGTGTGTGTGAAGCCTGTTGTTTGACAAATTCGTTTAACAGTGGGTTTTGAAGTGATAACTTCTTATGGGAGGGTATACCGCTTCGTTACGTAACGCGTTATGGTATAAGGGGGGAAACGAGCGCAGACCAGTCACCTGATGGTATGTGTCTATATGTCTACCTGATGGCGCCTACAACTCACGTTTCATAAGTGCGAACTTTGAGTTTCTTCTCGTAGAGTTAGAGGAAATTATGGGTTTCGGTAATTTCACTCACTTGGTAAAAAGTAATGAAGTTTTTATTTGTTATAATATAAATATTTATACATACAGTATCAGTCGTATACATAATACATTTAAAATGGTCGAAAGTCGACTATCAAGGATCTATCGTGTGTAAAATTTAAAGAAGGCGGGTTCATTATTTGTGGTTCGACCTCGTTTTTGGATTTCTGATTTTTAAATAGCGAAAAATGACATAGCATATTAAAACTCGTCTTACAAGATAAGTCAAATTTAAAAACGGTGAACGTTCCAGGATCAGCCGGTCGAGCCTGTCGGTGGGGCAGACGCTGACGGGGTCGGTGACGTTCGCCAAGGACGAGCTGGGGCGGCGCGTGGACTCGTACGCGCTGCAGTACGTGGTGTGCGAGGCGCCCCGGCGCGCCGCCCCCCCCCGCGACAAGGACAAGCCCGCCCCGCGCGCCGCCCCGCCCCACGCCCCCCCCGCGCCGCCCCACGACGAGTACATGGACGCGCTCAAGGACTTCACCACCGGCTGGCTCGCCAAGCTCGGTGAGTCTACTCGCACTTTCATTGATCTGCTCCCATTGCTCGTAGCGTGATGTGGTCTATTAAGATAAAAACTTTTTTATCTTTAAAATGGGACCGAATTCAAAAGAGGTTTGATCAAATCGATTCAGTAGTTTTAAAGTTTATCCCGAACGTACAAATTTATATATATATAAAATTACATTATTCAAATAAGTCATCATCATCGACAACATAAGTAGTCCACTGCTGAACATGATAGAAAGAAGATTAAATAAGCAATATAACACATCTTGCGATCACATTAATCCGACATAGTCGCGTAGATTAATAATATTTAAAAAATAAACGATGGCCTCGATAGTGCAATAGTAACGTGTACAACTGCTGTGCTGAAGTCTCGAGCTTGATTCCCAAGTCGAACCAAATGTTTGTGTAATCTGCAAATAATTGTTTCGGAGTTTGGATATTTTCTATGTATATATTTATAAATTGAAGTAATCCCCCAGTTAAAATACCCTCGTATTCGTTCATATTTTGCAATTTAAAAAATAACGTAAACTTAGTATATTATTAAAATTTAAAATAAAATTCGATCCACTTTGTATTTAGGTATATAAATATATAAAATCTATTAATGCACTAGATCGTTAGAAATATATACCTACGGATACGGATTATTAATCTAAATCCGAAAATTTAAATCTCAACTTTTTCTAAATTAATACATACGGACTGCTATTCCAAAGGTCGCGGGTTCGATTCCCGCTCAAGTCAAACATTTGTGTGCATGAACATTTAATGTTTGATTTGGTCTGGGTGTTTCTATGTATAATATCTATGTAATTACAAAAAAAAGGATATATGTATTTATATCAGTTGTCTAGTACCCATAGTACAAGCTCTGCTTAGTTTGGGACTAGATGGCGTCGTGTGAATGTGGTACAATAGTATATATAATATATAATGTTGAAATAGCATTACTTACCTACATGTTTCGACTTTTTTATGGCATAAATAACAAACGAACAGACAAGAGACCCTTTGTTCTTCTACCAATAAATAAGTTCAACGGCCGTACAACAATGCACTTTAGTTCTCCAATAGCCGTTTCAAGTTAGTCTTTATACGCAGGTGGATTAGACGCCAGTTACCGGAGACGAATGGCCGAACTGTCTAGCAACAGTAGTACGGAAAGCATTATTGACGAGCGCATTACACATAAATATGGTATACTGAACCCAATTGTACCTATCATAAATATATAAAGGGTGTAAGGGACGCCGTAACGAATACTTAAATGGTGTATTCAGACTATCATTCTGAGAAGGAAAATCATTGGAATTTTCTGCCGGAAAATTCATCATTTTTTTTATAATTTTTCCCTTTTTTTGGGTAAAAATGAAAGCACAATGAGTAAACAGAACATTTAATCGAAAATAAATTAATAAATAGTGCATACGGTCAAAAACTGCAATGTAATTAATCAACCAGTCGAAGCGCGCGGGGCCTCCCCTCCGGCCGTCAACTTGTGTTAGTGTACGTAGACTGTTTGCACGGAATACACATGTAGTTATTACTTTTGGGCGATACCTACGGGAAATGACCTTTACTTTTGACAGCTGATTACATAAAAAGTTTAATTTTCCGGTATAAATGGTCTGAATACACTATTTCAGTGTTCATTACGATGTCCCTTACACCCTTTATAGATTTTGTAGATGGTTTAGACGTACGTTTTTAAATACTTAGCTGTAACAGCTGTACGGAACCGCATATTACACTGTGTTAGGTTTTTTTTTAAATTCTTATTTAAATAATATTGTATTCTGTCACTTAGCATTATATGTTCACTACCCTAGGGTGGGCACATAAAATGTTTGTATTATTATGTAAGTTTTGTATGTATGTTGGCACATCCAATTTGTACTTTTTACTATACATTTGATGTGTGAACGGAGGACCTGGTGTGAGCTCGTCAACTCTCGACGGTCACCGTGACGATCGAGTCTGTATGAACTAAAGTCACACCAGGCTCTGATTCCCCGCTAGTGGTAGTGAGTGTTGATGTGGTGCGCAGAAGGCGACAAGCTGGAGCAGGTGTACGAGGAGCTGCAGGAGAAGTTCCCCGGCTACCTGGGCGCGCACGTGGCCTACCTGCACGCGCTCGACTCGCCCACCGACGCCAAGAAGTAACACCTCTATATTCACTTATATTATTTTTATCTTCGCCTCCAACATATCTATATTTTTATTTTACACTATTTTATTAGATTACCTCATGCGAACGAAGAGCCCGATGTCACGACGGCCTGGTGCGAGCAGCTCATTACTATATCAGAGAAAGTATGTACAGATATTATATGTAGCAAATTTTTGGATAAATAACCTATTATGATATTTTTTTGCAAATCTCAAATCAGGTCGTATATACTGTGTATTCTTAATAAGTAAAACAAAGATAGGTTAGTTACACCATTTATATCACACGTTTTTTTTGATATTATTGAAAAATTCTTAAAAAGTAAAACAAAGGCGGGTTAGTGACACCATTTTTAACTCACTATTTATGTGATGTTTGACTTAATAACAGAGTAACTATTAAATTACGAAAGATTCGTAAATAACGATGAAAATTTATTTTCTAATACATTGTATATGAAACCTAAAACGGATGACGAGCGGAGCTGTGACTAAGAGAGCAAATGAAAATGCGGGGAACGACTGATTTAGGAACTGTAACTGAATAAATAAAATACTAATTATTAAATATAATTACTACTAAATAATTACTCTCTCCCCTAGTGACGTTACTATGAGGGTGGTCTGAAAAGTTTCCGACCTAACAAAGATACAAGACCTTTTTTTAATTTATTTTTTATTTTCCGATGCTCCCATCTCTGTAACCCGTCCAAATAGTACTCGGCGTTTTTCTCAGCAAAATAATTGTTCACGAAGGTGATTGCCTTCATTTGATGAAAATCTCTGTCCTCCGAGCGCAATTTTTAGATGAGGGAACAAGAAGAAGTCGCTTGAGGCTAGATCTGGTGAGTAAGGCGGATGGTCAAGCAGTTCAAACCGTAATTTGTGAATTTTCGCCATGACAACCTCTGAGGTGTGAGACGGTGCGTTGTCTTAGTGAAACAGAATTTTCTTTTTCTGCAAATGTGGCCGTTTTTCCGCTATTTCTGCCTTCAGCTTGTCAAGTAATGATGCGTAGTATGCTCCTAAAATAACTCCATGACTATTCCAAAAAACAGTCGCTGTCACTTTCCCAGCCGAAAAAGCAGTTTTTGCCTTTTTTGGAGCCGGTTCCCCCTTTGCAGTCCACTCATTGGACTGTGTTTTTGTTTCGGGCCTATAATGGTGTATCCAAGTTTCATCTTCAGTAATTAATCGGCGCCAAAACACGGATTTATTGCGTTGGAAATGTTCATTCGAACACGTTTTTGGTCTAACGTGAGCAAACGCGGCACCCAACGCGCAGACAGGTTTCTCATGTCTAAATGTTTATTTAATATGTGACAAACACGTTCTTTTGACATGTTCATAACCTCTGCTATCTCTTTCACTTTAATTCGGCGGTCGTCTAGCACCATTTGGTGTACATTGGCGATGTTTTCGTCGGTAGTTGCAGTTTTTGGACGTCACGAATGTTCATCGTCTCCCAAGCTCTTACGGCCACGTTTAAATTCAGCTGCCCAAAATTTCACTGTGGTAAATGATGGTGCAGAGTCCCCATACACAGAACCAACTCATCTTTGATATGCGGAGGCTCGATACTCGATTTTGTCCATTATCATAAAAAACACATCAACTCACTTAAACGACAAAATGGCTGAAACTTAGGCGAGTAATTGTCAACATATGAACAACAAAATTCACTAGCTTTTATTCAGCAGTGGTGCCATCTTCGTGTTTAGGTCGGAAACTTTTCAGACCACCCTCGTATAAGAATTTTGTACCAAGGATGTTGCTGATTCAGGTTTTTACTGTACAACTGGATGCAGATTTTTTCAGATCAATATCAGCGGATGTTGATACTGATATTAATCAGTTACGTAAATAAAACATATCCTAGTGTTAAATTATTAACAAATGTGACGTAATATTTTGAATGAAACAAGTAAATATTTTGAATAATAAAAGTTATCCATATTTCCGTACTTATAAATGTGAAAGTGAGTTTGTTTGTTAAGCTTTTATGCCTAAACCACTAAACCCATTAAATCTTTTTTTTACCAATGGAAAGCTACATTATCACTCCGCCCGCTTGTATGTCGGTTATCGCGGTAAAAAGTTTCCCATTTTAAAACCATTGTAATATTTATTTATTTTCTCAGGTCATAAAAGCCATCGACCAGGACAAGTTGCTCGCGTACCTTGGCATGAAGAATGACACAAGGAGTGATGCAAACAAGATCAAACAGTGAGTAGCAGGCATACACTTATTTATTTACTTCTTTATGAAATAATTATTTAAAAAATGTGGGGGTAGCCTTGTGGGGGACAAGGTGGTCCGACGACTTAGTGAACGTCGCGGGAAACCGTTGGATGCGAGTAGCAAAACACCCAGAGCAGAGCTCGTACTGACAGTAGTTTGTTGTTAGGGAGCAGGAGAAGTCGCGCGGCTACCTGGTGGAGGCGCTGTGCCGCCTGCGCAGAGCTCGTACTGACAGTAGTTTGTTGTTAGGGAGCAGGAGAAGTCGCGCGGCTACCTGGTGGAGGCGCTGTGCCGCCTGCGCAGAGCTCGTACTGACAGTAGTTTGTTGTTAGGGAGCAGGAGAAGTCGCGCGGCTACCTGGTGGAGGCGCTGTGCCGCCTGCGCAGAGCTCGTACTGACAGTAGTTTGTTGTTAGGGAGCAGGAGAAGTCGCGCGGCTACCTGGTGGAGGCGCTGTGCCGCCTGCGCAGAGCTCGTACTGACAGTAGTTTGTTGTTAGGGAGCAGGAGAAGTCGCGCGGCTACCTGGTGGAGGCGCTGTGCCGCCTGCGCAGAGCTCGTACTGACAGTAGTTTGTTGTTAGGGAGCAGGAGAAGTCGCGCGGCTACCTGGTGGAGGCGCTGTGCCGCCTGCGCAGAGCTCGTACTGACAGTAGTTTGTTGTTAGGGAGCAGGAGAAGTCGCGCGGCTACCTGGTGGAGGCGCTGTGCCGCCTGCGCAGAGCTCGTACTGACAGTAGTTTGTTGTTAGGGAGCAGGAGAAGTCGCGCGGCTACCTGGTGGAGGCGCTGTGCCGCCTGCGCAGAGCTCGTACTGACAGTAGTTTGTTGTTAGGGAGCAGGAGAAGTCGCGCGGCTACCTGGTGGAGGCGCTGTGCCGCCTGCGCAGAGCTCGTACTGACAGTAGTTTGTTGTTAGGGAGCAGGAGAAGTCGCGCGGCTACCTGGTGGAGGCGCTGTGCCGCCTGCGCAGAGCTCGTACTGACAGTAGTTTGTTGTTAGGGAGCAGGAGAAGTCGCGCGGCTACCTGGTGGAGGCGCTGTGCCGCCTGCGCAGAGCTCGTACTGACAGTAGTTTGTTGTTAGGGAGCAGGAGAAGTCGCGCGGCTACCTGGTGGAGGCGCTGTGCCGCCTGCGCAGAGCTCGTACTGACAGTAGTTTGTTGTTAGGGAGCAGGAGAAGTCGCGCGGCTACCTGGTGGAGGCGCTGTGCCGCCTGCGCAGAGCTCGTACTGACAGTAGTTTGTTGTTAGGGAGCAGGAGAAGTCGCGCGGCTACCTGGTGGAGGCGCTGTGCCGCCTGCGCAGAGCTCGTACTGACAGTAGTTTGTTGTTAGGGAGCAGGAGAAGTCGCGCGGCTACCTGGTGGAGGCGCTGTGCCGCCTGCGCAGAGCTCGTACTGACAGTAGTTTGTTGTTAGGGAGCAGGAGAAGTCGCGCGGCTATCTGGTGGAGGCGCTGTGCCGCCTGCGCAGAGCTCGTACTGACAGTAGTTTGTTGTTAGGGAGCAGGAGAAGTCGCGCGGCTACCTGGTGGAGGCGCTGTGCCGCCTGCGCAGAGCTCGTACTGACAGTAGTTTGTTGTTAGGGAGCAGGAGAAGTCGCGCGGCTACCTGGTGGAGGCGCTGTGCCGCCTGCGCAGAGCTCGTACTGACAGTAGTTTGTTGTTAGGGAGCAGGAGAAGTCGCGCGGCTATCTGGTGGAGGCGCTGTGCCGCCTGCGCAGAGCTCGTACTGACAGTAGTTTGTTGTTAGGGAGCAGGAGAAGTCGCGCGGCTACCTGGTGGAGGCGCTGTGCCGCCTGCGCAGAGCTCGTACTGACAGTAGTTTGTTGTTAGGGAGCAGGAGAAGTCGCGCGGCTACCTGGTGGAGGCGCTGTGCCGCCTGCGCAGAGCTCGTACTGACAGTAGTTTGTTGTTAGGGAGCAGGAGAAGTCGCGCGGCTATCTGGTGGAGGCGCTGTGCCGCCTGCGCAGAGCTCGTACTGACAGTAGTTTGTTGTTAGGGAGCAGGAGAAGTCGCGCGGCTACCTGGTGGAGGCGCTGTGCCGCCTGCGCAGAGCTCGTACTGACAGTAGTTTGTTGTTAGGGAGCAGGAGAAGTCGCGCGGCTACCTGGTGGAGGCGCTGTGCCGCCTGCGCAGAGCTCGTACTGACAGTAGTTTGTTGTTAGGGAGCAGGAGAAGTCGCGCGGCTACCTGGTGGAGGCGCTGTGCCGCCTGCGCAGAGCTCGTACTGACAGTAGTTTGTTGTTAGGGAGCAGGAGAAGTCGCGCGGCTACCTGGTGGAGGCGCTGTGCCGCCTGCGCAGAGCTCGTACTGACAGTAGTTTGTTGTTAGGGAGCAGGAGAAGTCGCGCGGCTACCTGGTGGAGGCGCTGTGCCGCCTGCGCAGAGCTCGTACTGACAGTAGTTTGTTGTTAGGGAGCAGGAGAAGTCGCGCGGCTACCTGGTGGAGGCGCTGTGCCGCCTGCGCAGAGCTCGTACTGACAGTAGTTTGTTGTTAGGGAGCAGGAGAAGTCGCGCGGCTACCTGGTGGAGGCGCTGTGCCGCCTGCGCAGAGCTCGTACTGACAGTAGTTTGTTGTTAGGGAGCAGGAGAAGTCGCGCGGCTACCTGGTGGAGGCGCTGTGCCGCCTGCGCAGAGCTCGTACTGACAGTAGTTTGTTGTTAGGGAGCAGGAGAAGTCGCGCGGCTACCTGGTGGAGGCGCTGTGCCGCCTGCGCAGAGCTCGTACTGACAGTAGTTTGTTGTTAGGGAGCAGGAGAAGTCGCGCGGCTACCTGGTGGAGGCGCTGTGCCGCCTGCGCAGAGCTCGTACTGACAGTAGTTTGTTGTTAGGGAGCAGGAGAAGTCGCGCGGCTACCTGGTGGAGGCGCTGTGCCGCCTGCGCAGAGCTCGTACTGACAGTAGTTTGTTGTTAGGGAGCAGGAGAAGTCGCGCGGCTACCTGGTGGAGGCGCTGTGCCGCCTGCGCAGAGCTCGTACTGACAGTAGTTTGTTGTTAGGGAGCAGGAGAAGTCGCGCGGCTACCTGGTGGAGGCGCTGTGCCGCCTGCGCAGAGCTCGTACTGACAGTAGTTTGTTGTTAGGGAGCAGGAGAAGTCGCGCGGCTACCTGGTGGAGGCGCTGTGCCGCCTGCGCAGAGCTCGTACTGACAGTAGTTTGTTGTTAGGGAGCAGGAGAAGTCGCGCGGCTACCTGGTGGAGGCGCTGTGCCGCCTGCGCAGAGCTCGTACTGACAGTAGTTTGTTGTTAGGGAGCAGGAGAAGTCGCGCGGCTACCTGGTGGAGGCGCTGTGCCGCCTGCGCAGAGCTCGTACTGACAGTAGTTTGTTGTTAGGGAGCAGGAGAAGTCGCGCGGCTACCTGGTGGAGGCGCTGTGCCGCCTGCGCAGAGCTCGTACTGACAGTAGTTTGTTGTTAGGGAGCAGGAGAAGTCGCGCGGCTACCTGGTGGAGGCGCTGTGCCGCCTGCGCAGAGCTCGTACTGACAGTAGTTTGTTGTTAGGGAGCAGGAGAAGTCGCGCGGCTACCTGGTGGAGGCGCTGTGCCGCCTGCGCAGAGCTCGTACTGACAGTAGTTTGTTGTTAGGGAGCAGGAGAAGTCGCGCGGCTACCTGGTGGAGGCGCTGTGCCGCCTGCGCAGAGCTCGTACTGACAGTAGTTTGTTGTTAGGGAGCAGGAGAAGTCGCGCGGCTACCTGGTGGAGGCGCTGTGCCGCCTGCGCAGAGCTCGTACTGACAGTAGTTTGTTGTTAGGGAGCAGGAGAAGTCGCGCGGCTACCTGGTGGAGGCGCTGTGCCGCCTGCGCAGAGCTCGTACTGACAGTAGTTTGTTGTTAGGGAGCAGGAGAAGTCGCGCGGCTACCTGGTGGAGGCGCTGTGCCGCCTGCGCAGAGCTCGTACTGACAGTAGTTTGTTGTTAGGGAGCAGGAGAAGTCGCGCGGCTACCTGGTGGAGGCGCTGTGCCGCCTGCGCAGAGCTCGTACTGACAGTAGTTTGTTGTTAGGGAGCAGGAGAAGTCGCGCGGCTACCTGGTGGAGGCGCTGTGCCGCCTGCGCAGAGCTCGTACTGACAGTAGTTTGTTGTTAGGGAGCAGGAGAAGTCGCGCGGCTACCTGGTGGAGGCGCTGTGCCGCCTGCGCAGAGCTCGTACTGACAGTAGTTTGTTGTTAGGGAGCAGGAGAAGTCGCGCGGCTACCTGGTGGAGGCGCTGTGCCGCCTGCGCAGAGCTCGTACTGACAGTAGTTTGTTGTTAGGGAGCAGGAGAAGTCGCGCGGCTACCTGGTGGAGGCGCTGTGCCGCCTGCGCAGAGCTCGTACTGACAGTAGTTTGTTGTTAGGGAGCAGGAGAAGTCGCGCGGCTACCTGGTGGAGGCGCTGTGCCGCCTGCGCAGAGCTCGTACTGACAGTAGTTTGTTGTTAGGGAGCAGGAGAAGTCGCGCGGCTACCTGGTGGAGGCGCTGTGCCGCCTGCGCAGAGCTCGTACTGACAGTAGTTTGTTGTTAGGGAGCAGGAGAAGTCGCGCGGCTACCTGGTGGAGGCGCTGTGCCGCCTGCGCAGAGCTCGTACTGACAGTAGTTTGTTGTTAGGGAGCAGGAGAAGTCGCGCGGCTACCTGGTGGAGGCGCTGTGCCGCAAGGGCACGGCGCTGTGCCGCCTGCGCGCGCTGGCGCAGAGCCCGGCTGCGCGGGAGAAGATCTCCGAGGCGCTCGCCAACAACCTCACCGATCTGCTCAAGTTCGCAGACCTCGCAGACACCAAGGTATTTTTTTTTTCATACTTTACGCGAAAACACTTTTTTGAGCCCATAGATTGAACGATATTACAAAGCAAATAAAATAAAACAATAATAATAATAATGTACCGTAAATAGATAGAAGAAAGATACTTCATTCATAGCGAACACTAAATTTAAATTTATCCAGAAATCCAGAAAAATAAAATAATCAAGGCATTAAAACCACTAATAGTTCTGTGGAGGACCGGGTGCCAGGTCCCTCAAACACAAGGATCCTTCGACCAGGCGAGGAGATGATCATGCCTGGCGGGCCGTGGCCTAACGGTTGACTTTGGGAAGTTGTATATATATGTTATTCGGCGCGAGAACTATTCATATCGCGATACAGGATCAGCAGTTCCTCCGTAGCTCTGCGTGTCTTTGTTAGATGGCGCTGTAGTATGTTCTTCGTTACACCGTATGTGAAAGTCGCCATAGCTGTAAATTTTTCATTTATTCTGGGACGGACGTACGGCTCGACGGCCGTTGGGTCCTCGCATTTTAAACCTCTAATATCTTCGAAATTATTAATTTTAATGATATGCCGTAAAGAGCAATTTTAATCTACATTAAATGCTCAACGTATCTAACGTATTTAATTGAATAAGGAATAATAATGAATTGTTTAAAACAGCTTCGTAAATAACCCGTTATATTTGGGTCATCTAAACATAGTTTTTGATAATGGTTGTTTACCACACACAACAGTCACAAATATGTTGTTGGACTTTTGAACTGCCGAATTTTACTAACGATTACCCATGAAATACGAAGAGTTATGTAAGATATATTTATTTTTCCTTAATGTATACATTAATGCCATCATATAACAGTAATTTTTATCTTGACGCAAAATAGAAAAGAATCCACGTTTGATTTTTTAACTAAGGTTTAAAGCGCTGTGTAAATGTAAAATCATTAAATGTGCCTTTTTTATAATACATTTTTTACAGGCGATTCACTACGGGGTGTGGCACTGCTTCACATTTAAACAATGGGGTCGAGGTATCAAGCTGTTAAACAAAATCCAGGAGGAGCGTCCCTCAAAAGAAGTGGAGGAGAGACTGATAGAGGCGTACAACGCTTTGGGCTGGGGCTTCTACGCGCGCTGGAGCCAGGCCGCCCTGCCCATCCGCTACCCCGCCACCTACAGGCCCTTCTGAGTCCCCCCTTCCCCACAAGCTCGTAAGACCTACTGTGGCAGTTGAAACCAATGTTAATAGAACACGTACTGTCCGAAATGCTTTTACGCTACTCTTATGATATGATATATATATATGTGCATATATATATATACACACACACACACACACACACACACACACACACACACATATATATATATATATATATATATATGTGTGTGTGTGTGTGTGTATGTATATGATATGATATCGTCCTTGTTATATAAGTTAGTTGATCAATTTTGCAGAATTCTCTTAGAATTGTTAGATAAATGATCTTGTTAATACATAACTGAAAAAACAAATACGTAACATATAACAGTGTGTGATGTGAATGGAGCAAATAAAAAAAGTGTGTGTGTGCGGACTTAAACTTCAGTAAAAGGTTGTACCATTTACTGAAGTTTCAGTCGCTCTGTTCAGTCGCTGTGCTGATGAAGCGAATATTTTCAATACTACAACAGTGATACGTTCACATTGCAAACACAAAATAATTCTAATATTTATTCGTGTCATTCACAAATACAACTATCACACCAATCGCTACGAAAACCGTAATTTAACTTGTTAGCTCTAATCATCGCCTCTTTCTAGCATTAAACTGTACAATTACAGAGAAAAAGATAGAAGATAGTAATAAAAGCAATGCAAATTAATAATATCAATAATAAGACAAATTGTAGGCAAATATTGTCAGTATAAATGTACAAAGGCCCAAAATACAAACAATTCTCAAACTATATCAAACTAATGAGTATTACATATTTTCTTGTATATTTATTGTAATAATAATAACCTCTCACACGCACCTGATCCCAAACAAGGCAGACTGCTGTGATAACTAGACATGGATATTATTGTTACTTTTAAATCATATTCATTTTATGAAATGATTGGTTTTAGTCACAGCGATTTCACATGTGACAGTCATTTCGTCATAGACAAAGATAAATGGAATTAAAATCAATCAAAATTATTTTTATCAAAGATTACGATGCAGCTCGATCACCTGTTCTGTGTCTGTGTATTTAGAAATATACAAGTATGTTGATCAGCAGTCTGGTTACCATAGTACAGGCTCTGCCTAGTTTGGGATCAGACAGCCGTGTGTGAGAGATCTCCAGTTGTTGTTATTATTATTACTAACTACGCGATCGCCTTAATTCCTATATTTAAACATAGTTATAAACAAGCTATGATATTTACATGACTATCAAAATCATGTAACTAAAGACAAAACATTAAAATTGTTATTAATTTTTTGTTGGTGGTAACACAGATACAAATAATATAATATTGTTGATTTGTCCGCTGCCTTATAAATAAATAATAGTGAAAAAATATAACAAAAATATATTTAACTTAAGTAAATATCCAATTGTTTGGTGAATCATATAATATATTGGTTCATTAGTTCATTGTTGACACAAAGTCCTAGTACCGTAACGTTTGCTTCCTAACACTGCCAATATCGGACTGATTCTTAACATTCACTACGAGATTTAGAAAATGCTGTTATTTGTTATGGTACTCATGACATAGTTATAAGACAATACACTTTATAATTAGTCCATTTGCGGTAGAATATGGTAACGCAGCGATCAAACCCCCTCACCCTGCCCAATCTGGTTCCAAGATTTCGAACGAAACGATTACTTGAATCCTGATTGGTCTATTGGACTATAACACGAATAGAATAAAAAAATGACGCACAAATAGACACTTAGACACATTTGATATCAATACAGACGTCACGATATTTAAATATAAAATATTTATTTTACTGCACTGACAGTATGGCGTTCTTAATACGTAAGTTTTGAAAAATCTATCGTATCTTTTAATTAAAGAATGATTGTGAAAAAATACAGCAATCCCCCCTATAACACTGTTATTTCATATTACGCGATTTTAATCCCTCGTATAGCACGGGTATTCCCCCATATAACGCGGGGATTTCCCACGTCATATTTCTGTACTGTGAAATTTATAATGACTTGTAGAGTTCATTATTAGTTCATAATTCGATTTAAACTAGAAAATTAAAACGTGAATCATTTGTACAAGCGCGTTATACGAGAATACTTCTATAACGCGGCACAAATCTACCGTGTTATAGGGGGAATTACTGTATATAGCTCATAATTTTTTTCTGGTATGTTGTAGTTTTATAAAATTAGAACAATCTCTAACGTATGGTGTTCAACTAACAACTGGAAATAACATGTTCGTTTAGTTTGCGTTTTAAATAGAAATAGTTGTTAGTGACATTTTAGTAGTACAGAGTGGGTCTCAATGTCGGAGATTTATTGAGTTGCCACTGTCGACACTTGGGTGTTTGAGATAAATAATAATTATAAATAATGTTAGGAGATTATTACTTTAGGTATATATTTTAATATTTGGAGTGTTAGTTCAACAGGCTTGCGTGCAGAAGGCTTGAGAAAGTACTAAGAGATCTTCTTGCAATAGAGTTTGACTTCCTTATTATTTAAAAAAAAAACTATGAGGTATATACACGTGGTTTAGTAGGGTACTGAATAAAGGAAACTCACAAAAGTTCAGAGGGCCTTGTGTGAGTTGTGGCATACCACATTAACTCAATCTCGACGGTGAACGCGTACGACGTTGCGATTGGTGAAGATTACAGTGCGGGTACAGTACCCTCTGAGCATGTGGTCAGCAACTACAAATGGTAGAAGATCTCTCAGTAACCATGAATGCTTTTAGTCCTTCGTTGTCATAGAGATAAGCCATTTTTTAGTTATAATAAGAAATATTATTGACAGGGTGCTTTCATGTTGTGTGCTCAAATAGAAGTTCAATTATTCGACGCGATAGTGTTCGCGAGTGTACATTCAATCCTTTATAATGCCTTTATAGTCTGTGTTGTACGATATATCAGAATGTACGACATGCAAATTTGAATGGGAGAATAGTTTTATTTACTTTTTTATAAGAATGAGGATTGGAACTCACGTAGTTGAAACATGGGTAGGGCAAGCGTTCATGAAAAACTGCAACTCGAGAGTGCACAAGTGCGTTGTCGGCCTTCACAAGTGCGTTGTTGGCCTTCACAAGTGCGTTGTGCCGGGCTTCACAAGTGCGTTGTCGGCCTTCACAAGTGCATTGTGCCGGGCTTCACAAGTGCGTTGTCGGCCTTCACATGTCATGTCCCCCTTGATTTAGAGGGCCATGAGTGCCGAAGCATAGCTCCCCTACCACGCGGTGTCTAATCTTTATTCCGAGTGATAATATACACTGGCGTGTCCACGTTGTACAATAACTAGGACAAAGTCTGTTAAATCAGTTTGTTTTATTCTTATGACGAATTTCATTACACTGTTCGGCTGTGTCAAACTTGTCATCTATTTCTATATAGGTTTAGATTGCTCTTTTTTTTACCACGTTTCTGAACGACAATTCTTGTAATAAAAATTAAATTGAGTTCCGATCCACTCTCGTAACACAAATGACATAAAAGGTATTCTATTAGTAGATACAAGAGTAGATTGGAACTGAATTTTGAAGGAATTTTTATTACGAGAATAGACCCCCTGTTGGTACGTTGATTCGGTTTTGAAAGACTTGTTTGACACGTACTAAAATATATAATAATTATACTGCTATGGACCTCACTAGATATAATGTTTACGCGGCGTAGCGCTGTCATAAATATGTAGATATAGCTAGAAGAGTGGACGAATCTATAGATGAATATTGAATACGTAGTATCTGTATTTATTTATTTATTTACAATGCAACATGTTTATCATATATATTTAAATAAAATAATATATAAATATGTTATGAAAAGAAATAAATATAAAATTAGTAAATTAATAAATTACGTTTAATTAATCAATTAAACCAATAAGTAATTAATTAAATATCTATAGATGTTTAATTGAATAATTAAACGTAAATTTAATTAACACATTGCAGCATTGTATTCGTTTAGCCAGCCAATAGTCAGGTTAAATGTAAATAATACATATTTGTAATTAAAGTGAATTATATTATTTATCCATTTTATTTATATAAATGTTCATTTAAATAGTTTGCCTTGCTTTACCAAACTATAAAAAGTATCTTCAAGTTTCTTTTGTATTTCCATGTGTTCATCAGCTGTAAGTAAATTAATGAGAAACAAATTTTATATTAATGTTGCAAATGGAATATGATCTTAGATATTTATTGATTGATTATACCGTTCTTTGTACTTGTTTCTACCATATTTATGTATTATTATGGTAATATTTTCGTAATTATAATAAAAACTTTTGTGGGTGAAATTAATATTTATTAAAGAAATACGTTTTTAATTACGTTTGTATTTTACGGATGATCGACGGGGAACCCTTTTCTAGCGTGACGCGTAACAATATCGCGTCACGCACGAATATCTCCGAAATACCCACGTGATTATAACCGTATATATATATTTCATAATGTTTGTTCGTAATTATTATTTAAATAGAAGTCCCGTAATAAACCTCTATTCGTCCGGCCTTTAGTTTCGTAGTACAGGTAAATTAGCTTGGAGAAATTTTTGCGTTTGTAGTAGTGTATGGTTGTGCGTGTTTCCACTTTCCACTATCAAGTGACGATTTTTTGCTTTAGATTGAAATATCTCGGAAACGGTGCGTCCTAGGCCAAAAATAACAAAAATTTGGACCCCCCCGTAGACCCCCGGAGTTTTAAAAACCTAGATGAAAGGAAAAAAAAAGAAAATTTTAAATATCGGTCTCTCCTCTTTGAAGTTTCACTTCTATCGTGTGTGAATCGCACACACACTTTTTTTTTTATAAAGTCAAAACCTTTTTCTTTAAAATAAAAACTTGTTTTTATTGAAAACAAAAATCAGAGTGTTGCTAGGGATAAGTATAAAATTAAATAGTAATGTTAGGATATCGAAACATTTTTGTATAGGCTAGAACGATATAGTGGAAACGCGCTCTAAGATCTGAGTAATATAC